AAAATTAACAATAAAAAATATAAGTATATTAAACTTGCATTTTAATAAATAGGAGTAATTTTGAAAATTAACAATACATACCTAGCAAAGTATTTATAAACCAAACACTGTAATGTTATCTTTCATGCATTTTAATCATTATTTTACTTGTATACTAAACACTGTTATGTTATTTTCCCTGCAATCACATTACCTGTAATCACATTGTATTGTAAAGTACCAAACGCTATCTTAAGTTTGTAGATTGTCATTAGCTGTAATGGTCAACCTCAACTCAATAGACAATTAGTTTATTCTATTGCATGTGTAGATTGAGTGAATCAATTTGCCCGTGGTTTTAGATCTTGTTTACCTTTTTTAAGCTCCTCAATTTCCATCTGCTGCCAGCTCATGGTTTCATTGCTGTATCTTTGGTCATATGGAAGCCTTGATCTTTTCATGTTGTAAGAGTAAACTCCTTTTCCATGAGATTTCATTTTCCTGGATTTGTTGTTGGAGCAAAAGCTTAGCGTTTGCAATTCTCAGATTTAAGAAATAAAATGAAGAAACTTCCTTCATAGTTTGTCTTGCTTCTTATCTGTCATTCTGTAAAAGTATATCCATCTTGATAATGAGGTGCTTTGATGAGCAGGACATCTAGTATGAGTGACTAGGAGAATTTCTGCCCCTAATACTGTTAACTTATCTTAATGGCAATGTTGTTAATAATTATCTATCCTGTAAAATGTTCAAATGTTATCAATCAGAAAAGAAAGACAAGAAAAAGGTATTAGTGGAAATTAGTGAAATTTAGCTTTAGTGTCATAACTGCTTGTTATTTGTTCTCAATTGTTATTTCTGTGATTTTTAATTTGGTTCTGAATACTCAGAACATATGTTCTATTGGGCTAGCTTTTTTTCAGCCTCTAACATGAAGTTTCTGCCCTTCCAGTTCTAATGGATGATCACAAAGAAAATGAAGCTATAGCAGAGCTCACAAAAGCATTAGCTTTCAAGCCAGACCTGCAGCTACTACATCTTCGAGCTGCCTTCCACGATTCAATGGGTGATTATATATCTGCAGTTAGAGATTGTGAAGCAGCCCTTTGTCTTGATCCCAACCATACTGATACTCTTGAGCTATATAATAAAGTTCGTGATCAGGTTAAAGAACGGAAGTGAGAGAATCAGATGCCCATAATCATTCCTCTCTTCATCGTCTGCAGTTGGTAACCAGATTGTTGCCACCCTTTTTCTTTCAAATATTTTTGTTCAATTACAAGGGCACCATTAGTTTTTTGGATTTTGTCTCTGGAAAATTCCGAAGCACCGCCTAGGCCTTTGGGTGAAATGGAACTCAGGAGGAAAGAAGAAGGAAAGTGTATGGTTTAAAAGGAAAAGGAAAAAAGGGAAACTAGCAAAAGATAGCTTGTAAATATTTGTTTTCTGTGTCAAGGATTGAACCAATCAATGATATAAATAGTCCAGGCATGCGGCTGATGCTGCTACTGCCCTCTGTATTTCTCCGTCAGGGGCGATGCCAATGCTACAGCCAAAAGGAACATGTAAATGAAACTGCAGAAGTCTGTCCAGTCTAAGAGATTTTACACTTTGTTGGCTTTTTTGCTGTACCTTATGTATTCTACCTCTTCTCATCCTGTATTGTTCTTCCAGCGTGAAATTTTTCGCTTCAAAGGGTTTCTTTCAAACAGTTATATTGGAGACACCCTAAAGTTGGAAACTTAAAGCACGTTGAATTGATTAATGTCCATGTTAACCATTACACACCATATGATAATTCATGGTAAGTCGGTTTCCATCTGTCCAAAGTTGGAACTGGGCAACATTGGACGTAGGGCACCACTTCTGCCACATGGTTTTTGGATGATTCCAGCAAATGGTTAATTAACCTCTTGGTTCACTTTCATAGAAGGGTCTTTTCCACCCAACCTGTGAGCATCATAAAGTGAAAACATCGGTTTTCAGTACACTGCACGAGATCCCCATAGTTTCAGCTGCTTTACAATTATTTCTCACAACCACTCCTTTTATTATTTCTTCGTTCATTCATTCATATGCATCTCAAGTCACCTAGGCCCTTTTTTTCCCCACCTACTCCACTGAATCGTTTCACTTACTAGGAATGATATTTCTCTATATGGGAGAAGGAATGAATGAAGCAATGGAAAAGAAACGCCCCAGGAAGCTGAACTTCAATGCACCACTCTTGTCAACAAGGCGACCTGCAGGTGGTCACATTGCTGATAAACTGTCTTGTACGAATTCCCAGGGGGGATGCAAAGATTCAAGCAATGGGATTCCATTCTGCTGGGAACAGGCTCCAGGAAAGCCCAAGAACTTGGATGGAAGTAACAACGTAGATGACGCAGAAACGCCTCGTCCTAAACTCCCACCGAGCAGATGGCGTCCGCCAGAAGAAGCCTGTCAGGATCACAATCATGACCATGATGAAAGCTGTGATGCTGATGTGGATGACTACGACGATGACGACAACGATGATGTTTTCTCGGATGCTATGGAAGTTTTGTCACTTACACAAGCAATAGACATTGTTGAGAAAGCAGAAAAGTTTCGTGGATCATCAGACGGGTTAAAATCAAAGAGCTTAGAGCCTAGTGACTTAGAAGGGTTAAACCTGGAGAGCTTAGATCACAGTGATTGCCCATCTCCGAACTTCATAATCGAGCGGTTTCTTCCTGACGCCACAGCTTTGGCTGCATCATCTGCTATGAACACGTCGTTGAAAACAAAGCTTCCTTATCTCTGCAATTACTCAGAGTCGCCATGTGTTTCCCAAGCAGTGATAAAGCGACCATTCTCTTCCCCAAAGGGTTGCGGCCTGGAAATCTTGCTGCCATGGCGTATGAAGCACAAGCTGTGTGGTGTAAAAAGTCCAATCAAGGAAAGGTCTATCATCGCAAAACCAACTAGTTCAAAGCAGAAGAAACTGTTTTCATCAATTGTTGCCCCTTCTGGAGAATGGAGATGTAAATAAAAGAGGTTTCCTATGTATAGATATATATATATACTGCATGAAATCCTAGTGGAAATGAAACATTCTTCTTTCTGTCTCAGTTTTGCTTGCATTGTTTATGCTCTTCCTCTACTTCCCATACGTAATAAAGCATATAAACAAATGATACTCTTCTAGTATTAGATTAGGCTTAAAATGCAAAAATCTTATTATACAAGATTAATACATAATTATTAGCGTTTACAGATGTACCCGAACATCTGGTTTAGTAATAATGATCCTTGCATGAGATCGGCACATTCACAAATGTCCTATCCGAACATTTGTTCATAGACGTACTCAAACATTAGTTATGTAGTAATAATTGCTTAATGATCTTTTATTAAAATGTATCTGAATATATTAATACATGAGATTGGTACATTATTGGCATTCACAGACATTCTACCCCAACATTTAACTCAATAAAATTGATCAATATATCAAATCCTAAATATAAATGAAGCCAATCATCTATTTAATATAAAACAGTGAAATTAAAACATCAGATATCACTTTAGACAGCATTAATTAGACTCCTGCCTCCATTGCACGACTCCATAAATATGGATTTTATAAGCATATCATTCTCAATGATTAGATGCACCTTTGAAGCCATTAATGGTCATACAGCCATCCAAAATTAAACTTCATTATTACTATACATATATAAAAATAAAATATTGACTAATTTTTCCTTCTCAAAGTAAAGGTTATTATTAAATTAAAATATTGAATAATTTTTTTAAAATATGTTTTTATTTGTATAAATAGTATTAATATTTTTAAAATATAACTAAAATTGAAATAATTGATCGAATCGTTCGAGATAAGTTGATTTTTATTGTTTTTAATTTTTAATTATAATTTGATCAATTTTGATTAATTTTGATGAGAATTCAATTAATTCGCTTTTGAAATTATGAAACCGAACCGATCGAATCGATCAAATAATTACTTCTAATTTATAATTTTAATAAAAAAGAAAATCAGGACAATTGGCATTTAGTGGACTTCAAAGCCCATGTAAAGCAGGCTACAGCCTATCCAAGCCCATGGGCCCAGGAACAATACGAATCCAAAATTAAATTCGCACGTTTGGGGGGAGCATCGCACGTGGGAGATTTCAAAAATCTAGGGTTTTGGGGTTGGGTGATCCCGGGCACTGACGGGCAGGCTAGGAGCCACGCTGCCCGTTGGGTCGGTTTTGTTTTTTCACATTGAGACCCTCCCTCCCGCTTCCTTCCCATCATTCGAAATTAATTTATATATGTTCAAAACCATTTCTTCAATATCTCCAATCCAAACCTTCCTTACTCTAATCGCCGATTCTCTTTCCTCTTTCTGTCTCTCCTTCTTTTCCCTTTTCTTCTCAGTTCTCCCAAGCTTAGCCCAACAATTTTTGAAGAAACAAATACCAGGAAGTGAGGTTTCTGGAGAGAGAGAGAGAAACCCTAAGTTTTCCTCTTCTCTGTGGGGGGTTGTTGATTTTTGAAACTCTCTGGTTCGTCGGAGACTGATTCGAGGTATCAAATCTTCACTATGCCTTTTAATTTTTGTTCAGATCTAAGGTTTTTGCCTCTACCTCACTGGGTTTTTCTTAGGGTTTTGCATTTCCAGCATTAACGGTCAGGGTTTCAGTTTTTTTTTTCTTTTTGTTTTCCATTTCTGAAGTTACGGATCTCGTTCTGCTTGTTTTTTTTGTTAGTTTATTTGTCTGTTTGTTTAGTTTTCCTGTTTGGTTGTTTCCTTTAGTTTCCCTCTGTTTTCTGCTATTTGAAAAGGAATGAAATTAGCCGTTTTTTGGTTATGTTCTGAGTATTTGTTTTGAGCTGAAAACTTTGTTTGGTTTCTGAGAATGGACAGGGAAGGAGAATTGAGTGACTTTGGGGTTTATATCAGAGACCCCAAGGAAAGAGCAATGCTCTAATTTCCTTCATTTACGTTGAGCTTAGAAAGCAAATGATGTAACAATACATCTGTAAAGCTATAATGGTTTGCTAGATTGCCTTTGGACACATAAATTACTGCATGTACTTGGAAATTTCAACAATATCCTTGTTATCTGCATGGGGATTTTATTGCAATTTAATATACATGGTTTCACTAGTTCTGATTAATTAAATAAATCAAGCTACAAGATTCATCGATGTTGATTGTACCTAGTAAATGTTTGTCTGTGTTTGTTAGATGGCTTGTGTGGTTAAGATGAATTCATCTCATCAATTTCTCCTCCAGCCATTCTTGTTACTTGTTAATTTTTGCCCAACTATAACATGCTACAATCTCTTATGAATTGATTTGTATCATAGTCATGATATCTGATCAGTGTTTTATGTTCAAAGTTGTAGTGTTGTTAAAATGGCTATGGAGATCACTCAGTTTCTGCTGGCTGCGCAATCAGCGGATGCAAAAGTCCGGACAGAGGCAGAGGGTAATCTGAGACAGTTCCAAGAGCAGAACCTGCCTGTTTTCCTTCTTTCATTGTCAGTTGAGCTTGCAAATAATGAGAAACCTGTTGAATCCCGTAGATTGGCTGGTATTGTGCTTAAGAATTCATTAGATGCTAAAGATGCTATTAGGAAGGAACAACTTGTTCAACAATGGATGGCAATTGACATTTCTGTTAAGTCTCAAATCAAAGACTTGCTCTTGAGGACTCTTGGCTCATCTGTTCCTGAGGCGAGGCACACTTCTGCTCAAGTTGTTGCGAAAATTGCTTCAATTGAGATTCCTCGGAAGCAGTGGCCAGAGCTGATTGGATCATTGCTTAACAATATGACACAGCAAGATAGGCCTGCAGCCTTGAAACAGGCTACCTTGGAAACTCTTGGATATGTTTGTGAGGAGATATCTCATCAGGACCTTGTTCAAGAAGAAGTCAATGCTGTTCTCACTGCTGTTGTTCAAGGGATGAACCTAGCTGAACACAGCCCTGAAGTTCGGCTTGCAGCAACCAGGGCTTTATATAATGCTCTAGAGTTTGCGCAGACCAACTTTGAGAATGAGATGGAGCGGAATTACATCATGAAGGTTGTATGTGACACAGCCATGTCCAAAGAGGTGGAAATCAGGCAGGCTGCTTTTGAGTGTCTTGTTGCGATAGCATCAGCATACTATGAGGTGCTTGAGCCTTACATGCAAACCTTATTTGAGCTTACATCAAATGCTGTAAAAGGAGATGAGGAGACTGTGGCTCTCCAAGCAATTGAGTTCTGGAGCTCCATTTGTGATGAAGAGATAGAGCTCCAGGAGTTTGAGACTCCTGAAAGTGGGGACTCTGGACCTCCACATTCTCGTTTCATAGAGAAGGCTCTATCATCTCTTGTTCCTCTTTTGTTGGAAACTTTGCTGAAGCAGGAAGAGGATCAGGACCAGGATGATACAGTCTGGAACATATCCATGGCTGGTGGTACATGTCTAGGTCTTGTTGCCAGAACCGTTGGGGATGCTATAGTACCTCTTGTAATGCCATTTGTGGAATCTAACATTTTGAAGCCAGATTGGCGTTGTAGAGAGGCAGCCACTTATGCATTTGGCTCTATTCTTGAAGGTCCAACCATTGAGAAGCTCTCCCCACTGGTACAGGCAGGATTGGATTTTCTGCTTACTGCTATGAAGGATGGAAATAACCATGTGAAGGACACAACTGCTTGGACTCTTAGTCGAATTTTTGAGTTACTGCACAGTCCAGCTAGTGGGTTTTCTGTCATTTCACCTGAGAATCTCAAACGAGTTGTGGGTGTGTTGTTGGAGAGCATTAAGGATGCTCCCAATGTAGCTGAGAAAGTTTGTGGGGCAATCTATTACCTTGTCCAGGGCTACGAGGATGCAGGACCAAGTGTCTCTGTTCTGTCACCATACCTCACAGAGATAATTAGTTGTCTGATTGCAACTGCTGATCGTACAGATGGCAGTGACTCGAAGCTCAGGTCTTCTGCATATGAAACCTTGAATGAAGTTGTGAGATGTTCCAATATTGCAGAAACATCTCCTATCATTGCACAACTATTACCGGTCATTATGAGTAAATTGGGTCAGACTGTGGATATTCAGATTGTATCATCAGATGATAGGGAAAAGCAAGGGGACTTGCAAGCCTCTCTTTGTGGTGTCTTACAGGTTATCATCCAGAAACTTAGCAGTACAGATGAAACCAAAACTATCATACTTCAGGCTGCAGATCAGATCATGATTCTATTCCTTCGGGTGTTTGGTTGCCGCAGCTCTACTGTGCATGAGGAAGCAATGCTTGCAATTGGTGCACTTGCTTATGCCACTGGACCTCAGTTTGAGAAGTATATGCCTGAGTTCTATAAGTATCTTGAGATGGGTCTGCAGAATTTTGAGGAATACCAGGTTTGTGCGATCACGGTTGGGGTTGTTGGTGATATTTGCCGTGCCTTGGATGACAAGGTCTTGCCATACTGTGATGGCATTATGGGCCTTCTTCTAAAGGATCTTGCTAGTTCTGAACTCCACCGGTCTGTAAAGCCTCCCATATTCTCTTGTTTTGGGGACATTGGTCTTGCAATAGGGGAGCACTTTGAGAAGTATGTCCCCTTTGCTCTACCCATGATGCAGGGAGCAGCCGAAATCTGTGCCCAGTTGGAAACTGCTGATGAGGAGATGATGGATTACGGGAACCAGCTCAGACGTAGCATTTTTGAAGCTTATTCTGGTATCCTTCAAGGTTTTAAGAGCGTGAAGCCTGATGTGATGATGCCCTACGCTCAACATCTCTTGAAGTTTATAGAGTTGGTCTCAAGAGACAGACAAAGGTTTTTTTGTTTCTCTTTTCTTCCTCTTTGGTACATTGATGCTGCTAATGCCTTTAGTTTTGTCCATCTAAACACTTCTTTTTACACGAATTGCAGGGATGAAAGTGTGACAAAAGCTGCAGTTGCGGTCATGGGTGATCTTGCAGATGCACTTGGCTCCAACACAAACACAAAGCTCTTATTTAAAGACTGTGCATTCTATTCTGAATTTCTTGGTGAATGTCTCCAATCTGATGATGAGCAGCTCAAGGAGACTGCAGGTTGGACCCAGGGTATGATTGGACGCGTTATGGTTTTATGAAGCAGAAGTTCTAGTCCTTTGGAGTAAAGTTGTTATTTTGGTCTGTCCTTTTTCCTTGCTCTAAATCTGCTTTCCTTCTAGTTCTGGTAATGGTTTTTAAGGCATTAGGGAACCAAAAGGGGGGTTTACAACATGTATCTGTCCATTCATTATTGCGGATTTGGGCTTTGGATTTTCAGGATTTTCTTAATCCGCTTCTTATCATTGGGTAGAGAAAATCGAAGTTAAATGCTGGCATTGTTTGAGGCCCATAATGAAGGTGGTAAAAAAACTTGTGAAACAGTCTATCTAATGCATCCACTAATCCGGTGGTTTGTCTTTCGATATAAATTTTCAGTTGTTGGAACTTCATTTTTTTTCTTTGACAGAATTGGATTCTAAATTATTTCAAATGGATCTACATAGCCTTGCTCTGTTAAATAATCAATAATTGGTTGGAAGGAATACAGTTGTAGAGCATCAGTAATAAAAAAAAAATGTATACAAAAACTGACAAAAATGGCAGATTACAAGCAAAGGGCAAGCAAAACTAAAAGAGAACTAAATTCTACTAGGTTGGGGCAGAGCACCGTGGACCTTGGGAAGCAGCAGGGTCCGCCGCGGGTCGAGATTATCTCCCGGCAGATATAGAAGTAGAGGATATTGCGCCGATGGATGACGAATTATGTGATGTCAAGATTGAATCTTTAGAAATCACGTCCAAGATTCTTGCATTTGTCTCAAAAGTGCTCTGACAATCAGTCGAGCTTGCATTTGTCTCAAAAATGCTCTGACAATCAGTCGAGCGTTCATCATCAACGAAAGGAAGAGGACCATCCTCGTTGAGATACTGCATCACTTGTCGCATGGTTGGCCTAGAACCTGGTCTCTGATGAGAGCAAAGAAGACCCAATTCCAGAATCAACTCCATCTCCTCAACCACGTAATTAGAGTTCAACTTAGGGTCTGCTGCATCAAGGATTCGACTCATTTGCCGGCATTCCATCACCCAATCCACCAGGAAGAAGTTACCTGAATCTGTAGGCCTCCGTCCGGTGGCTATTTCGTGAAGCAAAACTCCGTATGCAAACACGTCTGTGCTGGTGGAGGCCTTCCCGTTGCGAGCCAATTCAGGTGCAATATATCCGATTGTACCAACAACGTTGGTGGTATGCGATGCTGTTCCATGATCATATAGCCTGGCAAGACCGAAGTCACCCAGCCTGGCGTTCATTTCAGCATCTATCATCACATTGCTGGATTTTACATCCCGGTGGATGACCACTTGCTCCCATTCTTCATGCAAATACAATAGCCCTGCTCCGATGCCTTTGATGATATCGAACCGTCTTGCCCAGCTCAACACGAAATTGTCCTTCGGGTTAAACAGTAGTGTGTCGAGGCTTCCGTTAGGGATGTAATCGTAGACCAGAAGGAGATCATTCTTTTTCTTGCACCATCCTTGGAGATTAACCAAGTGCTTGTGCCTCAATCTTCCTAAGCTTTCGATCTCTGCTGCGAACTCTCTCATTCCTTGAACTGAGGTCCGAGAAATTCTTTTGACAGCAACTTCACTTCTTTTACTGGGCAACACACCTCTGTACACTGCACCAAACCCACCTACGCCAATCAGCTCGCTCTCTTTAAACCTCTTTGTTGCTGTGTGAAGATCCTTGTAGCTGAATCTGTGAGGATAATCCAACTCCCATGCTTCAAGGTTTTCATCTCGCGTCATCCTTCTGTACAATGTCAAAGAGATCAATGATACCAACAGAAGCACGGTCACAACAGATAAAGCAGCAATAATCGCAGTGATTTTGGGTTCAAAAGACTTGGAAGAGCTTTTCTCTACTGGTGTTGTAGGAAGTTGAGAAGTGTTTAGGGCAGGCGCTTCACCGTTAGTCGAAAAACTCCATCCTAAGATGTAATGAGAGCTTGATTTTCTCCCTGTAGATGCGGAGAAGCCAACATACATTGTTTCCTTGACCACCGACGTCAAGTCGACGGGTTCAGATATAAGGGATTTGGTTGGTTTCTCTGTTCCCAGAGGGCATACTGTTACATTCACAACTTTCTGCACTCCATCATATGCTATCCAAGCATGGATAGGTCCCTCACCTTCCAAAGCCAGATCTTCATCATTTGTGCCATTGACATAATAAGTAGCGGCCTTTAAGAATCTTGAATTAACGCTATTGATGTTGATTCCAACATGGTTTCCTCTTCTGTCATCCTTCTCGTTGTGCCCATTAACGGTATCAAATTCAACTGCAAAGATATGGTTGGTCTCATTGCCATCATTTGCCGAGTTGAAAATTCCCAGGTAATGTTCTGTCCCAGCTCCGGGGAAACTTGGAGAGGGAGATAATGTGAAGGCCAAGCCGTAGCCTCCTAGCCCTGGGCTTGATGGGACTATATCGAAAACAAAAGATGTGCTAAAAGAAGAAGCATTCCGACAGGCAGAAGGGTATCCATCAAGCATTGGAATTGGTTGATAATAGAATGCATTGCCTGTAACATTTTGTGCTTTGTTGGTAAGTCTAAGCACACCAGTGGGTTTGATGATAGAAGCGCCCTCTCTGGTAAGATTTGTTTCACTTGCATTGAATCCAGGGAGGTTGAATTCTACAGATTGAGCTAGAGCAATTAGTAGAGGGAAGAAGCAGAAAAATAGAGTTAAAGAAGCTGCTGATGCCATGGGATTCTGAGAATTGCAAGATTAATCATACGAGGATGCAAACAAGAATATATTGAGGGAGATATATGTAGGAGACCCTGTAGAGTTCACAAAGTCAATGAACATGATCTATGGTAGAGGCTAAATTGGGCTGATAAATGGTGGTGAGACCGCTGTGTATCATTATCACGTTGGTTAAAGCAAGTCCATGCAAATGGGAACAAAGTGATGTTGAGAACTACCGTGACATGGATGGTTTTGATTTTTCAGTCCTTCTAGGCTGCTTGACTATTTCATCTTCATCCAATTTCTGAGATCCAAGTCAGAAAGAATGGCATTATTGATTTGGGGTGGAAAGCACTTAGACCGCTAGCTGTGTCTTGTTCGTTAGAGCACGTCCATCCTCATGGGAAGAAAGGGATGTCGAAAACTACGTTGATATAGATAGTTTTCTGAGTTTTCCAGCCCCTCTAGGCTGCTTGACTGTTTCATCATGCAATTTCCTGAGTCATGTCCCGAAAGAAAAGGCATATGAGTGATTTGGGGATGAAGCCGCTCAGGCCTTGGCTCAATTAATCCGCCAGCTGCAAGGTCAACAGCCGTTGAGAGGTTTTGATTTTTGTTCTCTGTTCTCGTTTCTGTGTATAACCAACCCTTGGTCCCTCAACTTGCTGACCAATCGAAACGAAGTTAGTGGAGTTTATTTATTCCAGAACTTGAAAGCTGTGTTCTATTGTCAAACCCTTGCATTTTCTTTCCAATTGCGTGCACATATAGAGGTCACAACAACTGAAGTGCACGGCGCCTTGCCATGTTAGACAATTAGTTGCTGTAGTTCCATTCCAGGCCTGGCCAGGAAACAAAATTATTTTGACCTGTTTTTTATTTTATCATGGAATTTGATAAAACATTATATTCTTGTTTCAAAGTCGTGCTTATCGTGGATTAAAGAACTGTATAGAATCTTCTGAAAAAAATGGTAAGAATTGCATTAATTTGTACTTTCAGGATGATGGTCTTTGTCCATGCCATCTCTCAGGACAATTCCTCTATCATTTTCTTGTATTAAAATGATATTACAATACTGATTACAATCAGACAGATAATCTAAAACATGTAGATAATAAAATTCGTTAAAAAAAACCTACACTTAATTATTTTTATCAATAAAAGTTCAAACATTTTACTTCTATTCATTTCTATTTTTATAAAAGTATCGACATAAATTATATCTTAATTATGGTTTTAAGGTAGAAAAATAAAACAAAAAAAGAGAGAGTAAAATATTTATCAAGCATTCAAAAATAAAAAAGAGATTAAAACACTTAGCTCTCAATATAGAAAATATCGTTGTAGTAGTAGTAGTGGAATTAAAAGCAAGGCATGATTAACCTATGGAATGGGGTTGGAAGTAGATTTCGTAATTTAGACATAACACGATAACACGATACAAAAAGATATAAAGTTAAATAGGTTTGGATTTAAATTTATTGTGTTTTGTGTTGACACGATTAAACGTGTTTAAAATATATTTAAATATGTTTAATTAATCGTATTAATTATATTATCGTATTTAAACGTGTATAAGTGATACGTTTAATATTACTGATAAATTTTTTTAGTATGATAATGTATTTTATGTATGTTATTTATATTAAATTTTATTGTATTTGATGTTATTATTATTTTGTTATAATTGTTTTTATAATTTTTTATTTTAAATTTGGATAACAAAATTATATTTAATTGAAAATATTTTAAGTTAATCATTTTAAACGTGTTAATTGTATTAGAGAAAAATTATGTTAATAGTTTAATCATGTTTATTAATCGTGTCGTGTTATATGGTTATTAAATGTATTCATAAACATGTTTCAAATGCTGATATGAATAATTATTTGTATAGTATTCGAATTTAACTTTATCATGTTTTGTATCTTAATTGTGTCAATACAATTAAGACACGAAAACATGAATTACTAATTCTAATTAAAAATAATACCTATAGCTTTTGGAATGAAATAATTCAAATAAGTATTTTATTATTTTTTATCAAAAATTAGTTCAAGTCAAACGCAGATTAAATTAAACTAAAATTTATTTAATAAATCAACAAGGGCATTGACTTGAACTTACAAGAAATAAATAATTTTATGAATTCCAAATGAAGATATAGCCAATATGCTTATCCCGATGTATGTTTCAATGAAAATTTACTCATATTCATGCAGTTGCCTTGCTGTAAAATTTTTTTATTTTTATAAATATAAAAGATCAATGATTTTTAATATTAAAAAAATAAAAAAATTGAGAAAAAATAAAATTATAATATAAAAAAGTATTAAGTGTTTAAAAAAATAAATTTCAATTTAAAATATTTTAAAAACGAAAGATGGATGAAAAAACGAATGGAGAAATTACAAGTCTTTGAAAAATGAAAAATTTATTTTGTTACGACGATTTGACGTAATAAAAAAATTATAATTAACAGAAAGAATTAGCAAAAAAAGAAAATGTAAAATACTCATGTTTTTCTAAGTCAACTCTATTCGGCAACCTCATGTCTTGTGTCTATGGTCAGCAACTTATCCGTATCTATGGACATTTCTAGGATAGATTCTGCAGTTTCCGAATCCATGCCTTGCAGAGGAAAAAAAAGAGATTGGAAAGGATTAAAATGGAGGAGTTTGATATCATCATATTAATTCTGTAAACACTTGGAAATCACATTTACTTGTGGCAGAACGAAAGATTGACTAATTTCAATATGAAGTATGTCCAACCTGTGTGTTTACAAATCCTAACCAGGCTGGGGTGGAAGTTTCCCCATCACATGCCATAGTTGATTTCAAGTTTCTACCCTAACAAATTATGAGTCAAAAGAAAAGATTCTGAAGCTTAGATCTATCTGCCAGAACTGTAAGAGATGCTTGGGCTGGTGGAAGATGAGGGATGAGATTTTGTGATCGTATAATCAGAAGTTACTTCCAAGAACTTCAAGTATAGTTCATCTCGAGAATCAAACGATTCCCAGTAATCAATTAGGGGAAGAGGGTCATCCCTGTTGAGATACCGCATGACTTTTCTCATGCTAGGCCTAACTTCAGGCTTTGGATGAGAACACAGAAGACCCAACAGGAGAACCAACCTCACCTCTTCGATCACAAAACCCGAGTTCAACTTGGGATCCATTGCATCAAGAATTTGACCAGTTTTGTGGCACTCTATCACCCAATCGACCAGGAAGATGTTTCTTGAATCAATTGGCTTTCTCCCAGAAACTACTTCCAGGAGCAAAACCCCATATGCGAAAACATCTGACCTAGTTGAGGCCTTACCATTGCGAGCCAATTCAGGTGCAATGTACCCAATTGTGCCCACGATGTTTGTCGTGTGCGAATCTGTACCATGATCATACAATCTCGCAAGACCGAAGTCCCCCAACCGCGCATTCATATCAGCATTTATCAGGACATTGCTAGATTTCACGTCTCTGTGGATTACGACCAACTCCCATTCTTCATGCAGATACAGTAGTCCAGCAGCAATGCCTTTGATGATGTTGAACCTTTGATCCCAGCTTAACGCCAAGCCTTGTTTCTGATTGAAGAGGAGAGAATGAAGGCTTCCATATGGGATGTAATCATAGATCAGAAGAAGATCATTCTTTTGCTTACACCATCCTTGGAGATTAACCAAATTCTTGTGCCTTAACCTTCCTAAGCTTTCGATCTCGGCTGCGAATTCTCTCAGACCTTGGATTGAATTCTGAGTTATCTTTTTGACAGCTACTTCAGTTCCGGTTGTTAGCAAGACACCTTTGTAGACTGCACCGAACCCTCCAACTCCAATAATCTCACTGTCTTTGAAACCCCTAGTTGCTGCATAGAGATCCTTGTACTGGAACCGGTGAGGACAATCTAACTCCCAATCTTCAAGTTCCTCAGACTTCCCCTTCCTTTTGTACAACGTAAAATAGATCAATATTCCCAACAATAGAACAGTTACGGTGGATAAAGCAGCAATAAGACCAATGACTTGAGGATCAAAAGAAGATCCATCCTTTCCTTTTGGCGGTGGCACAGGAAGTTGGGAAACATTGAGTTGGCGAGCTGTTCCATCTGTCGAGAAACTCCATCCCAAGATGAAATGTGAGCTTGACTTTTCCCCCGTGGATGCAGAAAAGCCAACGTACATGGTTTCCTCAACCAAAGGTGTTAAGTCAATGCGATGGGAAATGAGAGGCTTGGATGGTTTCTCTACCTTTAATGGAGAGATCGTAACGTTCACGAAATTTCCATCGTATTCTATCCAAGCATGGATGGGATCTCCACTCTCCAGTTTCATATCCTCCTTTAGGTTTGTGTTATTGATAAAATAAGCAGCTGGTTCCGTCTCATTGGAATACATGCTATTGATGTTTATCCCAACATGATTTCCTTCACTGTCTGAATCATCGTTCAATCCATTCACAGTATCGAATTCCACTGCAAAAACATGGTTGGAGGACAAACCATCGTTCTCCTGGTTGAATATTCCCATGTAGTGACCTGCTTCAGCTCCAGCGAACTTCTTGGAAGGCGACAACATGAAAGCAAGGCCATGGCCTCCCCGCCCTGAGCTTGGAGGTATAATAGAGAACACGAAAGTAGTGCTGAAAGAAGAAGCCTTGGGAGAATCAGGTGAAGACTTATTGTCCAGCATCTGTATCGATTCTGAATAGAACGCATGGCCTAGAGCGTAATTTGATTTGTTCGTGAGCTTCAGGGCGCCACTAGGCCTGATAATAGAAGCTCCCTCAAGGGTAAGCTTTGATTCACTTCCATTGAAACCATTCAAGATGAAACTTGGGGGCTGAGGCTGAGCAAAAACTGGGAAGAAGACAATGCAGAAGACAAGGGAAGCCCAAGAACATGATCCTACCATGGGATTTGATGAGCTAAAACAAATTTTGTTGTAATCAACAGATAATTAAGGATGATAACAGTTATAGAAACGACAATAATATATCAAAACCAGTAGTCCCAAATGGAGCACTTGAAGGTTTCCAAGTCAAGGACTAAAAGTTTGGGCACTCATCTCAAAGTCAGAATCATTGGCTCAAGATTGATGAGATGAACACTTGGTGTAAATAGACAGTTGCCGTACGCAAGAGGGTTTCTGAATTTTCCTGGACTACTAGAAATTATTGACATATTTTTAGTTTATCATTAAATTTAATCAAACATAATAATAATTTTGCCTGAAAGTGGTGTATATCATGGATTAAAGAAACAGAATTTTCCTATAAAAATTCTAAGAATTGCATTAATTTAGCAAGATTTATGCTTTCAGGATGATGTTACATTCTCCCACGCCTTCACCTTTTTGGACCTATTCACATTGGTCGTTGTCCAACATTAATTGTGTGAAATTAGGTTCTTCCTCTCCCATTTTCTTTTTTAGGTTTCTTTTTCATCTATTTGACCATAGTCGAAAACTTTGCAAATTAAAAAAAGTTAGAAACATTCAAACCTCTCGCATAAAGAAAAAATATATTAAATATCACAAAATGATATAAATCATTAAATAAAAAACCGTTCATACTACCGAAATAGCAATATCAATATTAATGATATACAATATCGATTAAGATTAGACAATTCACCTAAAACATGTAAACGATAGGATAGTGAAAAAAAAACTAAACCATATCAAATTATTCCTATCATAACGAAGTCATGAACGTTTCATTTCTATTCACTTTTATTGTTTTAAAGTAACAAAATAAAACCGTGAAAAAAATAAAAAAGCAAAATATATATCAAGCATTTAAAAGAAAAGAAGAGAATAAAACAGTTAACCCTCATGCAAAAGCTAACATAGTAAAGAAGTAGAAGCTGTTGTAATTTAATTACAGACTGAGAGAGCCTTACATACCAATTCTCAAATACATTTTGACTGAAATACTCATTATTCAACAAGCATAAGGTTGGCGGTTTGAGGAAAAGAAGAAATTAACCTATGGAAAAGGGTTGGAAAAGTGATTGAATATATTGGGTTTAGACCTAATCAAGTAAACAGTCAGCTTCCGAATGAAGTGATTCGGCTGCGTATTTTACAATTTTTAGTCAAAAAAACGAGTTGAGCTCGATCGTGCTTGATCCGCAAATGGAAAAAAGATTGAATAAGGATTAAAGTAAACTATACTTTATATATATAAATCAACAAGGGGCATTGGGTTGAACTTGACTATATCCAATATTTGTTTATCCCAGAGGTTTCAGTGACAGTTTACTTAATTTTCGAGCTTAATCATGGATTTCGAGCTTAATCATGGACCTTGCCTTGTAGTAGATTGGCCTTAGATGGTACCAAGTCAACTCTACTTCCCAACCTCTTGTCTCGTGTCTATCTGTCTGCCAAGCCTGGTGTCTCTCTAGGCCCATGTTTGAATTATAGAGGGACAGAAGGACTAGAAAGAAAGAAGAAGTTAAATGTCTTGACCAAGATTATATTCTCTGTAATGTAACTCAACTTTGAAGGATGCCATGCATGTCTCAAGCCAAACCAAAGCCAATGGAATTTGATCAGTTTTTGTTTGATTCTTTGACTGATGTGGTGGCTTTTTTGCTTAGATTATCAGGCAAACCTTGCCGGAAATGAGTATCTCGTGACAGTAATACTTATGACACGTGTTTACACACACTGCCGTTTGTCTCCAACTCCAACAATGAAGAAGAATATAGGCATGGCTTGATTTATTAAACAGAGAAATTGCATTTGTCATTGAGGGCAACCCCCTTTTTTTTTTGGCCTACAAGCCAAATTAATTAAATGAAAAACAACGAAGCAAGTCTGGGTCTAACACCTTTTGATTAAAATAGTTTTCAACAGAAATATATATATATATATATATATATATATATATCATTCCTGATAATAACAGTTGATATAGAAGTTTATAGCTCAAATTGTCAACTAAATCCTACCAGGAAATTCTTTCTTTTTCTGAATCGGATGCATGACAATTTGTCTGGGGATAAGGTTTTGAGTGGTAGATGTTTTTAGCAGCTGAATTGACAAAAAAGAATCAAGTACAAACGGCAGAGTAATTCCGAGATATCTCCATCCTGTCGAAAGTATTTATTAATACAGTAAGTTTCGGCCTTGAGAAAGCAAGTTTTTAGAGAGTTTATATGTTACAAGTAACTGTAGATATCATGCCTTTATCTTGTTATACGTAAAATATTATATTCTCTTACACTTCTTTACTTAATTATATATTATTTAGTCTTATGAATATTGTTCTGTCATGCTTGGAATTGATACATCACTAATCGGCCTGAAATTCGTTGGCAATTAATCATTTTGGAAGGAAATTTTCTCACAAATACAAGTAAACTAGATGCATCACAGTCAAAGCCAAAATCATTGGAAGCTACAACTTAGGAAATTTTCAGGGCCGGCCTCTAAAGGAAGGTGAGTCGGAAGGGAAATTAGCCCACGTTTCAATAATTTTTGTAATTAATGATTACGTAGCTTTTTTAATATTGTAAAAATTACGAAATTATCTCTAAAAAATTATTCAAAATAAACACAACAATAGAGAAAAATTCATTAAAAGAAAAATCATGAGATTACAAGAATAGTCTCAAACTCACAATTCTTATCCCTCGTACACTCAAATCACTCTTTTTAAATTTAGGTGAGACTATTCTTTAATCCCATAAAATCTTTTTATAGAGGTCAAAGACAATAATCTTATCTTAATACAATTAAGATATATTAATCTAGTCTAATTAGATTTAAAAACTATCTTAACAAGGTATACTAGTTTAATTAGAATTAAACTATAATCTTAATCAAATTACAATTCAAAACTTGAATTCACTAAGCTTTACCTTATGAATCAATCTCTGTCAACACTAACATTGCCCCAAAGGGCCTCAAGCACTACGAACACTAATCAAGTCCAAGCAATGCTTGAATTTTATTCCAAAAACTGCCTTAGTAAATATATTTGTCAGATTTCCAACTGTAACTATTTTTTTCACTACAATCTCACATCTAGAAACAATCTCTCGAATGAAATTACACTTGACTTGGGTGTGTTTGGTTTTCTCATGAAACATTTGATTTGCAGTCAAGTGTATGACACTTTGACCAGAAAAAAACACAAGTATATATGTTTGTCCAAAACCAAGATCACTAGCCAATCCTTGAAACCATAAAGCCTCCTTTACTGCCTCAATCACAACCATATATTCAGCTTCAGTTGTAAACAAGGTAATTATTACTTTCCAACTAATTACAGACCCTGAGAGAGTGAACACATACCTTATTCGAGAGCCTCCATTATCTAGATCATTAGCAAAATCTGAATTGGAGAAGCTAACCACATTACAACTATTGTTTGCACCTCCTTCACATACTAAGACAACATCAATAATACCTTTAGGTGTTTTCACAAGCTTCCATGTTTGATCCCAATGTAGAGATTCAATCTTCTTAGAAAACTGGACATATGTAATTACCTCACAATAAAAGTAAGGTTCATCAATCTCCACTTCTATAGATAAAACATAAGAATCAAAATCACCATCGATGCAAGTAATGCTTTGTTGAAATACCAATTCTTATGGCTCTTGCAGTTCATTCTAGATTTCACTATCATCCTGCACTATCTTCGGAGCATTGCTTTTAAAGTCCACCTGCTTGCCAACTTCCTGGTCTAATGTGTATGCAATTCTAGACTTTATCCATAAAGTAATGCAAACTTGTCAAAAGTAACATCCGACTCACCATAAACTTGAGGGACTTACAATTAGTACATCACAACCGATAACCTTTCACCTTATATGCATAGCTTAGGAATATGCACTCCATTGCCCTCAACTCAAGTTTACCATCACTTATATTAGCATGAATAATATAACCAAATATTCTCAATATAAAGTAATAAGTGGGTTTACCAGACCAAACTTTTTTAGGAGTCTTAAATTCAATTGCAGTTGATGAAAACTGATTTACCAAGTAATAAGCCATATTGATAGCTTATGTCCAAAATACTTTGGTTAGGCCAACATTAGAGATCATGTATTTTGCTCTCTCCAAAAATGTTCTCTTCATCCATTCTACAACACTGTTTTGTTGTGGTGTTTTGATGATAGTGTGATGTCTAACGATTCCTTTATTCTTGCAAAACAGACTAAACTCACCTTTGTAAAATTTCGAACCATTGTTTATTCGAAAGCTCTCGATCCTTTTCTTAGTCTGTTTCTCAATCAATGCCTTCGAATGTAAAAAAGTGGTTAACACTTCACTCATAGCCTTCAAAAATACGTTCACACCTTTCTTGAAAAATAATCAATAAAGGTTCATATGTATAATGATCTACCTTTTGATACTACCAGAAAAAGACCCAACAAATTTAAATAGATGTAGTTTACTGCACTCCTGGTTCGATGAGGTGTAGTGCTAAATTTCACTATATGTTGCTCACAAAAATCTAGCTTTTCAGTCTTTCGACTACACAGCAAACTACGCTTATTTAGTTTTTGGATCTCTTTTTCGCTTATATGACTCAATCTCATATACCATAAACGTGTTACATCATCATCAAGATCATTGAATGAGACTACGAAAATAGTTTCAATGATCGTGTTTCCCACTAAACGATAAAGGTCCTCGAATAACTTACCTTTCATTATAGTTAAGGCTCTTTTAGATACATTCAAGACATCATCTTGGTCACTATATTTGTAGTATTTTTTATTGAACAAACTCAAGGATATCAAATTTTTTTTCATGTCAAGCACATATTTCACCTTAAAAGTGCTTACCATACCATCAAATATCTTGATCCAAATTGTGCCAATCCTAACAACTTAGAGAGAGAAATCATCTCCTAATTGTATAGTGTTCATATCAACAGATTGTTAAGTTGTAAACTAATCAGACTTAGGACATATATGGAAGCAACAAGCTGAATCCAAGATCCATATATCCATTAGGTTACCAATAGTAACTATAAGAATATTATCAGCTTCTCCAAAAGTATCAAAGTCATCCCCAACCACTGTATTATTATCAAATTTATTGATCTTTTCATCATCTTTGAATTTGATATAATCTTGACAAAAATGCCATTTTTAACCACAGTTCTAGCTAGATTTATCTTTTCTATCTAAGCCCTTCTCTCTATCTTTTCTTCTATTCCCAATCGAGCTTTCTACTTGATTGTTATTCCAGATACAACCAACTTTTTTTTTCAATTCTTTGAAATTTAAAGATGCTGTTACATCCTTAAGTTTAGATTTCAATCAAGTAACTTTTCGGACTAAAACTATGTGACCCTCAAAAGTCAAAACATGCGCTAGTCTGATGTGGGATTTTACATTGCAATGGTAAGATCTTGGTCATGTGGAATGAACATGATATATGCCTTTGATGAGAACTTCAAAGATTAAGTACGTAAAATTGTAATACGTCACATCTCACATCCGATGTGAATGTGATTATCAAGACTTATATAATTATCAAAGTCTATTGTTACTAGCAACTTGAATTTAAATTTTTAAAAATCACATAGTTTAGGTTCAAAAAATTATGGGATCGGTACTTAAACTTGATCAGTACATCGAATGATGTATTGCTGTTTGATTATTTTGCGACTGAAGAATCAATATTGGATCATGATTCTGCACATGCCATATCTTCAACATTTTGGATATGGAAAACTTATCGAAAATTAGAATTTATTACATTACAAAACATCATAAAAGGACAAGAATCAAGATATAGATGGAATATTTTGCATGAAAGTTGCGTAAAACTCTTTGCTTATCTTTAACTTTTTACCATTGATTGTTACTATTTACTATTTGACTTACTTCATGCTATTCAAACTTAAACAAAACTTTGAATAGGATTGAAAGGAACAAGTTAAAATTCATAATCTAATCAAAATTGTTCAATAATACCCATAATTGTCCGAAACTGTTTATTTAGTGAATATTCATTTAAAAACTTGAATCCAATCTGATTTTTTTAAAAGTAAATGAAATTAAATGGATATTTGCACCAAAATCGATTACTTATAACTAATTTCAAACGGCAGATATCTTAACCCTGAAAATTGAATTCAAGACCTGATCAAATTACACTTTTTGGAATGAATATTGGCATGTGATGAAGGAGTAAAAGAAATAGACTAATAATATTTGGAAGTGCTATTAATTAGAATGATCCTGAATTTCCTGCATTAAGATAATTAATTATACGCAGAAAGAACAAGACTTTGACGAGTAATAACACCTTCATTAACCGAAAGCGACGTGGTAAGGAATTCTTTCGATTCTTCATGCAACCTGGTAGTTTTATCAGCTTCTTCTTCCTTAAATTCACATATAATATGTTGATGTATACGAGGAATTTTGCTTATCAGCTCCGGACCTGGTCTTCATATTATTATTTAAATGGAGGTTATCATTCTCATTAAGTTAAACGGTATTTACCTTGGAAAGCAATGAACAATTTCACCTGACTAATTTCTTCATTAAAATATTCATATAATATAAAAAAATTACATGAAATATCACCTCTGGGAAGCTGCCAAGCAAGGAAGGCGACCCAGCAGGGAACCTTGATGGAATAATACTCTTAAGAAATCGGGTGAGAGTGATTGGGAGTTCTTTTCTTTGATTTAAATTTCTTTTCATGTTATCTTATTCATGCCATCGTTATCTGCTTTATATATATATATATATACACGAAAACTCCACGGTCAAGACTCGAAGCAAATCAGATTAAGTGTTTTAATTCTGTAAGTTATCTACAGAAGATGATGGAATCAGAAAATTTTCCCCTTCTATGGCCATTCGACGATTTCATGAATCCAACTACTGATCAGTTCGAATCCCATGACTTGAATATGAGTGGCCATTTTAACGGTTGTGAATTCTCTTCTTCATTCACTACCAGGGAGGATTCCTCTGACATTTCCTCGGTTTCCCATTTCTCTACAATGTTCTCCGGTGAGGTATTCCCATTTCCAGCCTGTGATGATCAGCTTCAGGTAACAGTACCTTTGGAGGATTTTTCTGTTGTCCCCTTGGAGGGGCTTGAGTCTATGCTGACTGATGGGATTGAGGATCTGTACAACTGTTTGGATGAGAGTAGTGAAGAAAGTTTTCCGTCACTGCCACTGTCCTCTCAGGGGCAAGATGTATGGAGTCCTAGTCCATCCGTGAGATCTAGTGAGGCATCAACGGATGTGACATCAATGCAATCATCGCTTACCATGCCAGGAGTAGCCATGGAAATTGATAACCAATTGAGCATATTTCATCTACTCAACGCTTATGGAGAAGCCATAGAGAAGAATCAGACAGAGCTTGCACAGGTGATCATGAGGTGCGTCGGTGAGAAAGCTAGTCCAGTTGGTGAAACTTGGGAACGGATTGCATTCAGTTTATCTCAAAGCTTTCAAAATCAGAGCGATTATCTTATGCAAGAATCTAGCAGGAACTTTGAGACTGCCTTCAGGGCATTCTATCAGATGTTCCCATATGGGAGGTTTGCTCATTTTGCTGCTAATTCAGCAATCCTTGAAGCCATGCCAAATGATGCAAATATGCTCCACATCGTGGATTTTGACATTGGAGAGGGGATTCAGTGGCCTCCATTGATCGAGGCCATGGCATGGCAACACAAGACATTGAGACTGACATCAATAAGATGGGGAGAGGAAGACTTTGCTCCCTCTCCATGGAGGTTTGAGGACACAAGAAGGCAACTTTGCGACCATGCTAGGTCTTTAGGCCTAAAGTTGAAAGTGGAAGAAATGGGAATCGAAGATTTGGCGAATGAGCTCAAGAAAATGAAGAAACGAGGTGGCACTAGGGAATGGTTAGCCTTCAATTGCATGGTGGGACTGCCACACATGGGAAAAGGCAAGTGCCCGAAGTTTGTAAATCAGTTCCTGAACGTGGCTAAAGAACTGTTAGCAAGTTCTGTTCCAAGAAACAGGGGAATCGTAGCATTTGGTGACGGAGATGCTTGTGCAAAACTGAAAGATTGCTCGGGATTCGGCACATTCTTCGATGGGCTTTTGATGCACTACCAAGCTGTCTTAGAATCAATGCAATCCAACTTCGCAGAGCACCTCATGCAAGCAAGGATGGCAATGGAGTGTCTCTTTGTCGGACCTAGTATCTGTCCTCAAGCTTGGTTCCAAAAATGGAAGGAGATAGAGGAAACTCGCCATTTCCAGGCAGAAACAGCATTGGAAGGATTGAGGGTGAGCACAGAGAGATTAATGGAAGCTAAAGAGATAGTGAGAGAAAAGGAAAACTTATTTGAGGTGAGCATTGGAGGGAACTGTGGGAATGAGTTGGCCCTGGAGTGGAGAGGAACTACACTTGTCAGAGTGTCCAATTGGAGACAAGATCAGAGTTAGATTCCTTTCTACTTTTCACGCAGAAATACACTACCGGAGGATTATTTTTATGTAGAAATTGTATGAACAGTGATGAACAATAAAACAAATGAATACAAGAATTCTTCCTTGTAATTAAAAAGTTTGTCTGAAATAAATGAATACAAGAATTCTCCATTGTAATTAAAAAGTTTTCGTCTGAAATAAATAAAACAAAGATTGAAAACAGAAGCGTCGACAGCAGGATTCGAACCTGCGCAGGACAAGCCCAACAGATTTCGAGTCTGTCTCCTTAACCACTCGGACATATCGACGCCTTAATGGGGCTGTTAATTCATATAAAGCTTTAATATTTAAAGCTATTATTTCAAATTTAATCAAATCCGAAGCTTTCTTCTAGTTTTCCCTCTCATTCATCTCTCTCTTTCCCTTCTACTGCTGGCTAGCAAGAGAAAATCTTTTTCAATTTCTCGTAGATCCCATTTTGGGATTCAAAGGCCTTTGCTTTTGGTTCTGAAAACGTATTTGAAACTCTGCTTTGTTCCCTCTTTTTCGTTAATTCATCTTTTCTTCGGTCAAATTTGAAGAAAGGAGTACGGGGAACCCTAGAAAAATGGGGGAATCCTCGAGAATGATCGATGTGGAGAAGCTGATATCTTACAGCGACGATCTGGTGGAGGTGTTAAAGGACAAAAGGGACGTTAACAACTTAACCCAGTGTTTCCAGCACTTGAACGATCTCCACTCGCATTGCGACTCTGATTCCAAAGAGGTTCACCGATTGCTTCAAGGTTCTCTTTCCTTCTAACTCTCTTTGTTTTACCCAGAAATTAAAATAAGCAAAAGAAGTAAGAAAGTAAAGAAAGATCTTTCTTTCTTTTTTTCATTTTAAACAAAAGCAGAGTATGAAGAAAAGATCGAAGCTTGTAAGAAGAAAACGGAGCAGGCGAAGTCTGAGGTTGCCAATGGAGCTGAAATGGAGTCTTTGCAGAAGGAATTGAAAGAGGAACTTGAGAAAGAACGTGAACTCATGGAGGAGCTTAGATAAGTATATGCTTTTGTTGGACTTTTTCTTTTGATTTTTAAAGGTTTTGCTTTTGTGGTGTTTGATTTAATTTCCTTTTTTAAAGAACACGGCTATTGGTAATGAGATAAGTGAGCTGGATCGCCAGAGGGTTTCTATCGACGAGCGGAAGCAAAAGCTGAGGAAATTTGAGCAAGACAAGTTCAAAGAACAGTAAGTTTCCGAACTCGAATTCGAAGTAATGTTTGTTCGATCTCTGTATTACCTGAATTCCCATGTTATGTCCTGAAAACAAGGGAATCGGACAACTAAGGGAAAGATCTTGACTTGAATTTGTAGACTTTGGTTTCTATGCATGTACTCGTTGTCCACACTGTCACCTGTTCTGAATTTATGAATTCGTGAAGTAAATGATGCTTGTTCATTTTTTTATATTTTCTGTAATTTCAGTGTCTATGTCCTGAAAATGAGGAAAGTTGTTATCGTGAATGTGTCTCTTGGACAACTAAGGGAAAGATCTTGACTTGAATTTCTGAACTTTGGTTTTCATGCTTATACTCATTGTCCACACAGTCACCTTCTGTTCTGAATGAACGGAGGTTATTCAAAATGACATCCATACTGTTCTGGGATTTGGTTATTCAACTGTATTTGAGGAACCAGGGATCTTTTGCTGTGTTCAACAATGATATCTTATTACAAAAATGTGTTGTAATGGCTATGAAACTATACCTTCCACAGTTATTTTTTGCTTATCTCTCTATGAATTATACTTGTAGTTCAACTTTTGGCATCTTAAAATGAATCCTTATATTTCTTGCAGGAGGAAGCTTTCGATGTATGCTTCTATAACTAGTATCATTCCGGACTTGGAAGATAAATCCAGAATCTCAGGCCGTATCCTTCTGATGAACATTATTTCCCCTTTGTCTTCTTTTATCTGTCTGGTTCTGTTCTCAAAGTTGTTTTTTAGGTTGCGATATACTGGTTCTCCTTGATTCAAATTTCTTGCAGATATAGTGGATAGAGATAGAAAGGTAGTAGAGAAGTTTGAATTTGACCCATCAAAGATGACTGCTTCTGATGTTTGTGATCGCATATGGAAGATGATAAATTCCCAATAGGCATTGGACATACATTCTCGGTGTTAAGATATGTAATCAAATATGTAAATTTTGTGTGTTTTTAATGCTTCTATCCAAGCATTTTACATGTTCCTAACTTTTGATCTTGTTATGTGATCAATGATTTCGATTCTTAAAGAGCCATTGATATCGTAGAAGGTTGGACTCTGTCAGTGTAACCATTACCTTGTTGAAAGAACCAAAAGCATTTTGTTGATGATGAATCTAATTTCTTTACCTGTTGAAATTTGTTGGCAAGCCTGGAACCAGGCGATGAATCTCATTCATAAAATCTCCTTTTTCATTCTTCAAGTTTGAACTTGGAAAGATTATCAAATAAGATTAACATTAATTACATTTTGTTCCAAGTGCAAAATGAAAACGCTAAAGTTAAATGTTCCATTCGTGCGACTCCAGCATGAATTTATGCTGGTGCTTCTATTTTCCTTCCCTGCACCAATGAAGTCTCTGCTGAATTTGGGATTTCCTTTGCTGGAATGAATGATGCTGAGTCTGGGTAGCAGGCAGGATAGATTGAACTTTCTTCTTCAGTTTCTTTTGGAGAATGTGACTTGCAGGCATTTGGCAGAGCTTTGTCTTCGTAAGCATTGCAGACATAGGTTACAAAATTTTCGTATTTCTGCACCCAAAACATTAAGGGGGTCAGAAAGAGAGAGGAAGGTCTTGATGATAAGAAATAGAGAGCTAAAGGGACTAACATCAAAAAGAGGTTGATTATTCACTGTCACCCAGGGAACATATAAATGTTTTGGATGGAGATTGTCGGTTTCAGTAGCGTACTGCAGTAGAAGCTGCATTTTCAATTTTCAGTTGATATCAGTGACTTGTCATGTAACAGATGATAATAACTTGTCATGTAATAGATGTAATAAACATATCGATGCACGTATTTAAAATCTTGATCTCTAAGCAACTGCCTCGAAGTTTACTTATCCATTCACTGGAAATATGAAATAAATTATAACTACAGAAAAATGTTGTGTAGCTGTTGAATTTAGTTGTACTTGATTATGAACATAAAATTCTAAGTAGAAGAGCTTGCCTTTCTTCCATGCCCACTGTCATAGCACTTCTTGATGAGTTTCTGATCCATACCCAATCTCGCGGAGCAGGCTTTCCACAACGCAGCTGCACCGTCAGAGTGCTGACCATCCTTGATGTGAACTCCTAGATTTTCAGTACAGTAGATGAAGTTGAAATGCTTTCTCTGTGACATTAAATAGAAAATTAATATGAAGTAAAGATCACACCTACTTCTAAAACCTGTCATAGATTTAGTTAGATATTTTTGCAGTAATCTGTTCGCTCAGTAACTTTTGGGACCTACATAATTAGTAATTGATTTTGACTTCTATATAAATCTCAAGAACCACATTCATAAAATTTGATTTACTATGAAAATAAAAAATTTTGTGCACTAATTCTGTTTTGTTTAAGGAATCTATTTTACATACTGTGCTAAAAGAAAGGGATTTCAGCACTCTTTCTGCTATGGAAGAGAAAGGTGACTTACCAGATCAGGCCAGATATTAATGGCGCAGGCATGTATGGTGTTCAGGTAGCATTCATCTTCACCATGCTTGATTTATAATATAAAACAAGTAAATAAAATAAATGGTGTTAAAATTACAAACAATAAAGAAATACTGATTGGATGATCACTTGTATTTGGAAGCAATGGCTGAAGAGAAGTGGCAAAACCGTAATGATTACAGACAAGATAGAACCATGGAAATGGAACCTGGCAATTGATGGTCTTGTCAGGTTTTACAACTTTAGCATTGCCCCAGGGAACCAGCCTGAGATTGATAATGTTGAGAAGATCACTGTTGAAGACCTTCACGAGTTGATTTACAATGAACCTCCGGCAATATGGACATAGAGACTCATAGTACAGAGACAGGTTAACTTTCTTTGGTTTGGAAAGAGATTGAGACTCGGTGACATTGTTTTCTGGAGAAGAATGAGATGGACAGATGAGGATGATGAGCAGAGAAAGTAGAAGAAAGGGGAGTAACTGGGAAGAAGCCATTACTCAGTGCAAATACTGAAGTTCCCATTTTTTGTAGGGTGTGTATGTATCTGTCATAAACACTCAAACTTCCACACTGTTCCTTATAAATGAGATGTGTCCCACATTTCCTTTGGTATAAATACGCAAATGGTCCCTCCAATTTTAAAACCTAGTCTCTGTCATGACAATTTGCACACCAGGCTTGCTGGAGCAGCCATGTTTTCATGAAAAACTCGAAGTGTATCAAATTGTTCATGATACCAAAATTTTGGAATGCTATTCAAATAATTTAAGCAAATAGAAGTTGATTTTTCCGTTCATAGTTGCAGAACAATAATCGTATCTGATATATCACCTTTAACTTGTCATACAACAATAATAACCTGACAATTGGCTGGTTTTTTTATTATACTAGGTGAACCAGCAGTGATGGACAAAGCAGAAACTGATGCAGGAACGTGTGGACTCATTTAAGGTTCTATTTCGTTCCTGGGCCTGTTTTTGCTGCTGTGGATGGTGCTGAGTTTCTAAAAATTTCAGTAGCATAGCAGCCCGGATGGATTTTATTTGCCATCTTATCTGAGCTGACATTGGATGATTGTGCTTTGCAAGCCAGTGGTACATGATCACCTTTATAAGCTTGACAGACATATTTCACAAAATTTACAAAGTCCTGCACCATGAAAAATTGAAGTTACAACACCCCCACAAACGAAAAGAGAGAGAGAGAGAGAGAGAGAGAATTGAGACTTACATCAAGGATTGGCTGGTTATTCACCACCACCCATGACACATAATCATGAGGAGGATTGAGACTTGCAGTCTCATTAGCATATTGTAGCTGAAGCTGCATATATATTAATTTGCACTCAATGTCGGAGTGAACCTTCTAATTCCCATAAGAAGTACATATCTTGAGAACAATTAACACTGATTCAAACCTTGCAGAAATTAGAACAATTCGGGAAGCTTTCTTGTTGTTTATTCCATCCAAATGGAATCAATCACACAGTTTGATAATTAAGAGTGACTCATGTAACGCTGTTAAATGGGTGAACAAACCTTTGGAAGCACCCTGGAAATTAAGAAAGTGGGTTCTCCATATTGAACGATTGAAAAATGATGTACGAAGATGGGAGGTGAGGCACACTTTTAGAGAGAATAACAATTGGCCGATCGACTTGCAAAAGCTGGGGTTCAACGCACAGAGGACCTGGTGTCTGTGCTGGAATAGGCCTCCGCTTTTTGGTGCCATTGTTAAAGTGAGAAAGGAAATCAAGTGAAGAGGGAGTTTATCATACGCAATGCAGAGGGAGTATTATTCATAGAGGCTGAAACTGCTTCTGTTATGGATGACTTGATTCAAGATTTCAGCGATTCTTCAGAGATTTTGCAGCTAGTTCCTATTGTCGATTATTCAGGAAGATCGTCTTGTCCACTTCTCTTGTTGCAGGTGTACAGGGGAGATTCTTTTCTTTTGCTGATTCTGAGTATGAATATTTGGTTGTGTAGGTGTTTTTTTTTTGGTTTTGTGCTTGACAAGATCACCTCTGTCTGTTTGGTTGAGGTTTGCTAACCTCTTTTTGTTTGATGGGGGATATATATGCTGCTTTTCTGGGGAAGGCAGGGTTGGTTTGTTGCTGCAGATCTGATTTTTGTGTCTGTACAGCTTTTCCTGGAGGCTATTCTCTTCCTTTCTGGCTGTAGCTTTGTTCCTTTATGAATGAATTCTACTTTTCAAAAAAAAAAATTAACACTATAAAATGCCACTGGATATGCAGCCAACCTTATTTCCATATCCACTATTATAGCATTCCTTGATTCTGTCCTCAGAGTCAGTTTTTCACAGCAAGGTTCCCACCATGGGACGTAACTGGCCCCCGCTTTAAGTTTCGTTTCTCTGTGCAGTCAATGGACTCGAAATGCATCTTCTGCATCACAAAAAACAGAAGTTTCAGATGAAGTGAAAATGCATGTACATCGAAGGGCTACATCTCTACTTTCTGCTGCCTAGTCATGGATTCTGTGAACTATTTTTCACTAAAAAATAAAATATTACCACATCAGGCCAGAGGTGGATGACACAGCTATGTATAGTATTTAAGTAGCATTCTTCTTCCCCGTGCTGCACATTGTTGCAAAACAGAGAAAAGGGCAAATGGTACAAAATAAATTTAAGTAATCGTACCAAAAAAGAAAAAATAGATTCGGATGAAGAAATGAGCATCGAACCTGGCACTGGGTTCTATTGCCAACAATGAAAGCATTGCCCCAAGGGACCAACCTGAGATTGACAATGGTATCGAGATCATTCTGGAAGACCTTCACAAGGTTATCTGAGATGAAGGATGCACAATATGGGCATAATGTCTCATAGTACAGAGACAGATTAACCTTCTCATTATTTATTGCAGGAGATAAAGTCTTGACATTATCATAATCTAAAGAGGAATGAGATGCAGAAACAAACATGAACGGTAGAGAATCCACAATAATGAAGAATAATTGAAGATTAGCCATTTGCTAATAACTTTGCCCAATGCTGAAGCTCCCATTTGCCAAGGGTATATATAGTCGAACTACTAGCTTCCATAATTTTTTTTTTTTTTTGCTCAGCACTAGCTTTCAGAATTGTTAAGATAATTGTATCAATTATCTGAACACTCTCCTTGGCGTTAGATAATTGTATAAATTATCTAGTTAAAATTACAAAACAATACTATCATCTCGTTAGACTATGATATTTAATTAAAGTTAGATTGTGAATAAGATTAGTCTTTTGTATATATATATATAAAAGGTGGAAGCTGCTCCTAGGTGATAGAGACAGACATTCAAGCATTCTTAAAGAATCACATGTAAGTTCGCGTGTTGATGACAGGAAGAACAAACGCAATCATTTGAGTAAATTATACATACTAGTCTCCAAATCATTACTTTTTCTAAATGCGGCTTTGGAAGTGTCTGTCTTAATCTGTGAATCTCTGGGATTACCTTTTTCTTGATTCAACTCGAGAAGTGATTATTGCTCTGATCTGTGGTTCTATGGGTGTTCTATAAAGGTTTGGCTCCTTCTGTCAATGGTTTGCAGCAGAAAAACTCTATAAAAATTTGATAATTTTGTCGTTAGTTGATAAGTGTTCAGTGGATTGATTTCGTCAACAATTATAAAAGTTCGAAATCCAAGAATAGCATCCTTATTTTATGTTTGGACTCTAAAAATTGGCTTTGTATAGTTATCCAGCCTTCCCTGACCATAAGCTTTAATTATTAAGAACAAACCGTAAGCTTTAATTAAGAATCTGACTAAGCATGCAAAACTCTAAAGGTAGATAAAGAGTGTGCTAATGCCTGGAGGAGAAAATGAATGGATTTGGTATTGAAGCACCAAAGAGGACAGCATTAGCTTTGGAGCAGGCTGTTTGAGCTTATACCTGCCTTGATACTAAATCAGATTCCCACTCTTCACAACACAATTCTTTGAGTCTCAAAATTGGAAAAGTGGGATTGGTTAACTGCAATTGTCATGACTCAGTTATGAAAACAAATCTGCATTTTCTTAAATTGTTCAAAATCCTTTCCAACTTCCGAATCTTCTGCCATGTGCCAACTCATTCATGTGCAATCTTGAGCCCAGAATCTGTTTCAAGGAAGCCCCATTTTTCTGAACCTAATGCTAATGCTAGAACTTCTCTTCCATTTATTAATCATAGCCAAATATGAACCTAAATGTTGCAATAATTAGTGCAAAAGACAAGAGTCTGATTGATTGAACATATCTTCACATGTGATGGTACGCAGTATTTCTGTAACTTTCCGATAGGGTTAATAAAATCAGCCACTTGCCCACAGGTAGACTGGCTGGCATCTCCCAGAAAAAGAAAGGTTCCCTCTATTTCTGGTCATGTTGACATCATAGCGGTTAAGGACCTGTCCAAAAATTAATTTCCAATTGCTTTGTTCGTAATACAATTCTACCCACTTCTGATATCGAATGACCAGACAGGATGTTCTGAGTCTAATTCTATCAGAGGCTGAGCATTTTGTTTGTTGGTGTTGAAGATGTCAAGTTCCTTGCAATACTGGTAGAGTTGATAATTGATGGAAGTGACTTGCAGCTCTTAGTTGAAGCATTGCCTTTGTATGCTTTGCAGATGTGAGCAGCAAAATTTTCATAGTCCTGCAGAAAGAAATTCAGAGCTGTAGAAATGGAGGAAAGTGAAATAACTAGAAAGAAAAAAATATGAAGGAACTAACTTTTCCAATTGACTGATTATTCACCACCACCCATGGAGTAAATGCATGAGGTGGACTAAGATGAGCAGTTTCATTGGCATATGCTAACTCAAGCTGCATATCAAACATCACAATTTACTCATCAGAAGAAATAGAAAGAAATAAACATAATTGACTGATGGAAATGAAAAAACTCATGAAAATAATATGGAAGGCTATTTATCTTGTCAAAATCTATGTTATCATTACTATGATAATTTTTTTTTTATTTCATAATCATTTTGCTGGGTAATGAAATAGGAAAAAGACTCTGACCGTTCTTCCTTTTCCACTATTATAGCAGTCCAAAATGTGTTTCTGAGGTAAACCCAATGACTTGAAACAACTTTCCCATTCATTTTGCCTTCCCTCAATTGCTAGAAACTCAATGCAGTAGATCAGACCATAATGCTTGTTCTGTAATTTAAGCAGAATGTTAATTAGAAACATCATGAGGTTCCAGGATAGACAACTTGGGGGAGGGGAGAGGAAGCAAATTCTGTGCTTACAACGTCAGGCCAGACATAAATAGCACAGGCTTGAATAGTATTTAACTGGCATTCATCTTGTCCATGCTGCAAAAGTTTCTTGAAGTGTAAGTTAGATAACTGAAACAGGCATAATCAACAAGGATACCAGCATGCCATGATCTACATCAAATGAGTGGCATTCTTGTTTATCAAAAGAAGGAAACTGGCATTTTTCCAAAAGGGAATCCATCATGAGACCGGTTGAACAGAAGCCAATTATATCCCTTAACCATTATGATAAAATTGTTACCTTCTCTTTTACCTTGGGACTGGACAAGATGGAAGACTGAAACAAGGAAAAGAAGAACATGGGCCCCCATTTTTAATGAGTAAACTCATTATAGTGTTAATGTCCTTCAACACCAAAATGAAGTTTCACATTCCAGTTTGCCACCCTCTGAAAGGAAAATTAGGTACTCCTACGCTTTTGGGTGTATGGGACCTAAAAAAGCCAGCTCATCAATCAAGTCCTTGCAGACAAGAGATGATTTGCTAAGCCCGGTACGCCTGGCTCTTTGTGTGGGTAAGGGAGGGAAACAGAGTTAAAGGAAACAATTTCATCATAAGTTTTTAAAAATCAGATTTCTTTTCTGATCTTTCAGCTTTGGTTAGCAAAAAGGAAAAAAACTGATGGGAGTCTACTTCTCCCTACTCTCTGTAAGGCTGAACTACTGCTGCAGTCATTGTGTTCATGTAGTACAAGGAGCGTATATCAAAAGCGGTTGTGAGATTGCTTAAATGGAATGTAAACAGTATGAATCAAACCCAGAGGAAGATAAGTATCGACCTTACAAATGATGGTGTTGTTAGATTTACTGATGTAGGAAGCACCCCAAGGAACAAGCCTGAGATTGATGATGGAGATAAGACCATTTTCGAACACATCCTCGAGCTTGTTGACCATGAACTTCGCACAACGAACACAGAGAGCTTCGTAGTAGATAGAGACATTAACGTTTTGAGAACTGTTAGAGGTTGAAACCTTGACACCGGCGTCATTTCTAACAGAAACTTGAGATGGGAATGTGAATTGAAACAAAAGACAAGCCATAACTAGAACTGGGAAAGCTAAGTTACAAAAAGCCATTTTGGAGAGCATGTAATAATGTCCAGTGCAACAAATATATGGTTCCTTGGACGTGTTCCTGAAGGATGTAGTGTGACATCAATGCCCCTATGTTCTATTACAATTCTGAAACTAGTCTTTATCAAATTGTTTCCTAATTATCACTATTTTTCATTCATTTTTCTTCCCTTAGCTTTTCATAAGCATCAAATTTTGGGTATAATGATTGAAAAACATTATATATAATTATTGATAAACGCCAGCAATCTGATCTTGAACACAAGCTTGTTCCTTCTGAGGGTTGACGCTGCTGCCACAAGTTCATATAATCTAACAGCAAGGATGTCCAAAAATATATAACTCGAACCCATAACAAGCTATTTTGCTCTTAGATCACTGTGACACTGCTCTAACATGTTTTCTTTGCAAAAAGCTGGCTGGGTGCAAGTGAAAATTCACATTATATTGTATCAGATGCACCCCAAACTTCTTTCAAACTTTGCTGAAGAGTTAATTCATTAAGGACAAAAACTCCCATTGCTGCACTTTTTCCTTTTTCTGGTATGGTCAAATTTCTTTGTGAATTAAAGTTAGTTCTGAATAATCAAATGGAGTATACATTCAAACTAATTTGCTGTGATTTCCAGACAGTCCAAATCTAATGCACTGCAAACAACAGGCAGCAAGTCTCAACTCTCAAACAGCAATGAACTCCAGAATCATGAAAAGCGCTGACAAATAGTACTGCAGGGAACAGATGATGAGAATTCAAGACTCATGCCCCGACTATTATGGAATCATTTCCCGTTAATCATTTTATGTTGCTTATAATTTTACGAGAAAAAATGAATATGACCCTTTTTTGGTTCAACACTCTTACCTGACTTTGACTAGTTAGAATAATTCATGTACATTTCTGAGCCATCATCTAATCAATAGTTCTACAGTACACTGTACCGTTTTAGCAAGATCAATCGCTATTGTTCAATTAAAGCAGAGAGAAGCCAAAAGTGAATCCCAAAAATCAGCAACAATGTGATTGAAAATGGTGTATCAGCATTCAGCAAGGACGCCTACATAGGAAGAGTCGACAAAAAGTTACTCTTCAGATTTTCTTAGCTCTACCCAAAGTTGTCTAGTTTTTCTCTTAGGATAACAAACTGGATTACTAGGATTTGCCTTTTTCAAAGAATTGTTCATCAGCGGAAGTGATTGGTGGCAAGCCTCTGGGACTTGCTTGCCCTGGTATGCCTTGCAGACGTACCTAACAAAATTCTTGAAGTCCTGCATTCGCGAAAACAGTTGACAAGACAATGGATCCATAAAATTAAGAAAGAAATGGAGAGCAGAAAGAGACATAATAAGCTAGAAAATGACCTCCTCTAGAGGTTGACCGTTAACAAGCACCCATGGAACAAATTTATGTGGTGGATTAAGCTGAGCTGTTTCGGCAGCATACTGTTTTTCCAGCTGTATGCATATAATCACAGAATGGATATTAGAAGAACAAAGTTATAGTCACAGAATGGATATTGGGGAGATAAGCTCAGGAAACTAACCACGTTTCCGTATCCACTTTTATAGCAATCAACGGGGACCCTGCCCAACCCAGTCATATCAAAACAGTTAACCCACTCGTTCTGCTTGTTCTCCAAGGCCAGACGCTCCACGCAGAGAATAAATCTGAAATGCCGCTCCTGCAACAAGCAAACGTACGAGATAAAAAAAGACTTGGGGATCAACTACTTACATATCCAAGGATGGAAGCTATGGCCGTACCTGTTAGAATTTGATGTTTTGAATTCCAAAATATAGATGACAAAGAATGTGGGTTCTTCTTCCTAGAGGAATGGAAAGCTTACCACTTGAGGATATATTGTGATGGTGCAGGCATCAATAGCATTCAGGACGCATTCATCTGGCCCATGCTGCAAGGTGTTACAGACAAGAAAATGAAAGAATAAGTAGTAGCTCAGAATATCAGAATCACAGATATAGAACCACATCAGCATTACAAGTACCAAAAAAAAACCAAATTAGAATTACAGTAGCTTGGTTCATCAACAGTTTATGCATGATATGGCTAAATGAAATGAATTAATATGATGTTCAACTTCTGAATAACCCCGGGGCCTGGAAGCTGTTGATAAATTAAAGGTGATGACTAAAAGAAAAAAGGAATCAAAATTTTGGGTCCCAACCTGGAACACTCCATGCTGAAGCATTGTGATCAAACCTGATTGGTCATTCATAACTGGAAAACAATAAGATTGGCCAAAGCCAAATTCAGGCTGCAAGCCTGCAGCTTCTTCTAAGGAAACAGATAAGCCAACACAAAGGGAAAAATAAGCCCAAAAAGGAAAAACGAGCCCGTTAGACAGGCAGGATTAAGACCCTATCATTAATCTCTGAACAATATTGAAATCCTGCTTCTGCTGAGAGGCTATGCTTGGAAAACCGAAACAGATAAACACTGATGGAGACATTCATCGATAAAAAGAAAGGGGGTTGACAAGAACCTGGCAAACGAAGCTACCGTCACGTTGCATAACAGCGTTGCCCCATGGAACCAGCCTGAGGTTGACGATGGAAATGAGACCCTTGTCAAAGACCTTTACCAGATGGTTGGCTATGAAGTCTGCACAGTAAGGGCAGAGAGTTTCGTAGTAAAGAGAAAGAGTGACGTTTTGAGCATGACATGGAGATATTGACAACAAGAAGTGCAGAGAAGTGGAGAGGAAGAAAACGAAGAAGAAACGAGGAGACGCCATTCCCAAACTACAAAAGCAGAAAATATTTCACAAGTTTCAGTTCGAGAATCGCTTCTTATGGACTTTGAAACAAAAAAAGCTTCCAAAGTAACTGTCACCTTTTATCTACTTTGTTTAACCTTTTCCTCTTTTTCTTTTTCAGTTTCTTTTTCTCTCCAATCCTTTTGTCAAATCACAGTGCTCACCATTAATGGCTGAACTTTAGTCAATAAATAAGATATGATTTCGATCCTATTTTCCGTTTCCATATAAATCCATCATCTTTTCCAGTTATTTTATACTTTATTTTATTTTTTAAAAATATTGAGGAGAAAGAGAGATCTTTTAAGCAGAAACGCCATATATTAACTAATAAATTAAATATTTAAATACATTTTTAAGTATTTTATAATATTAAATAAATAGTAATCTCTCTATTTTTAAATATTTGTACTTGATTTTTTTCATAAACATTAAAATAATAATTTTAATTTTGATATATTTTATATTAAAAATCTTTAAAAATATTAACATAAAAATTCAATTCTTTCTATTAGAAAACGCAAATTTATAAGTACTAGGACAAAAAGAGTATTAGGTGCCTAACAAAACTTTAATTTAAGACATTCAAAAAAAGAAAATAGATATAGAAAAAGAGATCAAAAGATTATTGTTATTGTTTTTCATAATCAATGTTTGTCCCATTTTTTTAATAGGGCCGGTTTTGATAGAGTAATTAAATTAGTAGCCCGTATAATTGCATTAATTCTACAATTAGACAAAATAATAGTTTGATAAACAACTAAAATTCATTAAAAACCAATTTAGATGAATCCCTTAAAATCAATAATTAACAATAAGTAATTCTCTTGGAAAAATGCATGGAATATTTTGCTTTGCTCCAAAATTGTGCAACTCATGATCCCTTTCCATGAATATTCTAACTCACCCACAAGTTTTGAATAAATTGTAAACTACTTTAGATGTGGATTCCAAAAAGAGAGAGTCTTTTTATTATTATTATTATTATTTGTAACTCTTTTTAATATTGAAAGCTGACTCATGTTGATATTATTCACCCAATTTAAGCAAGGAATAAATTCTTTATTTCTAGTTTCAATAATTCAATATATATACCTGGCTTTACCAGTTTTGTAACACTTTGATATCAATGTAACTTTTAAAAATAATAAAAAAATATCTTTTATACACTCTTTCTCTCCTTTTTTTTGGCATCCATTACTTATATTTATGCGATTAGTTGAGCGAGATTCATGAATTGGATGCTATTATCGATAGTTGAAGTGTATAGTACTCTTATCATCTTTAAATATTTTGTTTTTTTTTTTAATTTTTACGAAAATGAAGATAAAAATTTTGATTTTTATATAATTTGATTGATGATCAATAACGGGGATTTCTCATCAACATTTTAAACATTTTTGTATTTATGTTAGTGATTATTTATTGTTATGTGATGACGGATCTAAAACATGAAATAAAAATAAAAATATAAAGATATACTTATAATATAAAAAAGTGAGTATTAAATGTTTAAAAAATAAAAAATAAACTTATTTTAAACATCCCAAAAATTATTTGGGCCTAAAAGCTTAGTTATAAAGCCCAAAAGTTGTATGTGACCCAATTATAGCAAAGCACACTCCCTTCTTCCTTCACTCTATCTCAGAAACGCTCACAGTCCTTGTTAGCGTCGCCATTTCCCAGTCTCCTCAGTTAGCTGAACTCGTCTCTCTTCAACCTCACCAAAACCCTAAACCCTTCGAAGCAAAGCCCCCCCAAAAGGCTCTAGCCTTTACCAATGGCTTCAATCAACTTTAATCCCTTCGAAAGTTGGTTCAGGAAACCTCAAAATCCAATCCAACCCGTCAATCTTCCCTCACTTGCCGACCAATTCCTCCCCAAGACATCCTCAAACTCTCCAAATTTCGCTTCCATAAACGCCTCCAGCCTCTTCGAGAAAAAACCCAAGAAGCCCGACAACGATTCTGACAAGCCTGGGCCGTACAAGCAGATGCTGGACCAGTTCTTCTGGGAATGCGAGAACCTCCCTGATTACAGGCACACTCCGGAAGTGGAAAATATTTTGAGCGGGGATCCTCTTTTTGAGAAGAAAGAGAATCCAACGGAAGAGGAAGTTAAAGAGAATGAAAAGTGGTGGCAAGATTTCAGGAGTAGTCCCGTGATTCAGTTTTTGGCTAGAGCTGAGGAAATTGCTGATGAAATCAATAGAATGGAGCTTAAAGAAAATGACGAGCCGTATAGAAGTGAAGATAAGAAGCTGTGGCAAGCCCTGCCGCACGTGATTGGGTTGGATGGGAGGCCTATGCCTAGAAAAGCAATCAAAACCAGGAAAGAGAGTGATGATAAATTTTGGGATTTTACAAAGCAGTTCTTTTTTGGGCTCTGGGGGTTCCGCCAGAGGCCTTACCCGCCGGGTCGACCTATTGATGTTGCTCAGGCTATTGGTTATAAGCGGCTCGAGAAGCGTTACTACGACTGTAAGTTTGGTTCTTCTTGAACGGCTTGTTGGAGCTTGTCCTGAGTTCATGTGTTAGTTTCGAGAATGTTTTTTTCGAGTAATTTAGGTTCTATGTGGAAGCGGACATTGTTGTTTTCCCTGACTCTGCTGCGAATTATTTTCGAATCTTTTGAGTTTTGCAACTTCAAGAGTTTGCTGAATATTAGAGGTCAAAATTTAGGTTCTCATATCGTTATCCAATTTTCTGTTGATTCTTCTTTATCGCATCTCAGCTTAAGTTACTCTCAAAGGGAAGGTTTAGGAGTGATCTAACGTCTCTGTGTACCTTGTTTTCCCCCTTCTGGATTGTTTTTGTTCTATTTGCTATTCAATCATGTCATGTTTATTTATTGATACAGTTATCATGAGGAGTGGAGGCTGGTACTATAAAGATCGCTTGGGTCGTACCCGAGGTCCTTGTGAGCTAATAACCCTCAAAACAGCTTGGGGTGCTGGTATAATTGATAAGCACACTTTTATTTGGGGAGAGGACATGGATGAATGGGCACCAATTCATATGGTTTATGGCTTGGAACCTGCAATAGCCACTTGGGAAGGTATTTTTTATCCTTCCTTTTCTTATGCATTTCATTAACATGTGTTTATTGTATACTGAAACAAGAGGCCAACATTATACATTAGGAGTTCTGTTCTCTGGTTTCAGCATTGACCGGTACTTATCACCTATTTAGTATTTTGTTAGTCCTCCTAGAATGTAATAGCAAAATGTAGTACCAAATGGTTAGAGTTATCCAACTTGAATGCAACTGTTGGTGGACCAGAATTCATCAAATGCACTCTGCTTAGATGAATATTGTCTGTGATGATGACTATTTTCTTTCCTGGTCGTCTTCGGTCTACCATAATCCAAAAATAGTCTCTGAATGGTCAAATTCAATATCCTGATTGATTTTTTCTTGTCTTATATTGTTCATCAGTTAGACTTGGTGCGGCAGCAACAGCTTTCCTTCATAAACTTCAGAAAGGTATACCTCCTTGGGTTCCCCTTAAAGGACATGAGAAGAAAACTTATAAGCAGCTTCAAGAAGAAGCTATAGAGAGCAAAAGACGTGATTTGGCCGTTCTAAAAGCTAATGATGGCATATGGCCTGGAGTTAGAATTCCTAGCCATGCCCTATTTCTTTGGGCTAGTGGCTCTGAAATGACAACTCTTTTGGAATCCGATCATATGCCTAACAAATACATTTCAAAAGATCTTCGGTATTGCTTCTCTTCTTCTAACCTTCTTTATCTTGAAGATAATTATACATCATATTGCTGAAATTGCATGGGTGTCTTGATGGTTATCATCTTATTAGAATGGTATTTAAAATGGTTTTATAACTGTTAAATATTTTAATTGCTTCTGTGAGGCAGGCGCAAATTGGCCAAAGCTATTCCTGGGTTAAGGCCATGGGAAGTTTTAAGTGTTGAGCAAGCAATGGATGAGATTACATATGGTGGAGAGTGGTATCGTGAACCTCTTGGTACCTACACTACAGGTCCTCCTTACATCAGACATTGGAATAAGGATGTCAAGGTAGGGTGTAATTTCTTCCATATATATGTCATATTTGTTGATATTGGTCAAGCTGCAAGTTTGATAACAAAAACAACTGTCCCTGCTTTCCACGTGTCTTAGTGATTTTGTGGGTGTGTATGGAGAAATTTTTAAATTTGCTTTGCTAAAATAACATGCTACAATGATTTTTAAAATCTTTGCATGGCAGTTCTAGTAGCTTTCAAACATTTCCAACGATCTTCTTTAATATGATGCCTGATTTTCAATAATGAGTCAGATTTGTCCACAAGCCTTTATTTATAATCTTTATGTTTCTATGCTTGCAGAGAATATTTCGGATTTTTTGCAACCTTAGCAGCCAAGTCTACAACAAACTGGAGAGGACCATTCCTGGTTTCAATACAATAATGGAGAAAGTCCAGGCTGATGCTGTTGTGAGGGATGCTAGACGAAAGGGGAAAAGGGAAGCACAAAAGAAAGCTGAGGAGGCAGCCAGATATGGTTCAACCGAGAATGATCAATAGCATAACTACCGCATAAGGAGTTAACTACATGAGCCCTAGGCTTCGTAGGGTCTGACTCCGCATCATCCAGCTTTCACATGGATAACACCACACATCTTTGAAACGAGATGGTTTCTGATTCTTGGTAAAAGGTAGGCAGAGTTTTTACTTAACTAGTGATCAAAGCTTGATATCTATTTGAGATACACTTGTTTTTTGACAATGTATTGATGCCAATACTGAAATAATGAAAAGCTTGTTTCAGCCTATGTCTGCTTCATTCTAGCCCTTCAAGGGCCAAATGCTAAACTTTCTTTCCCTCCTTTTCCTACATATTGATCTGAATTGGTGGAGGCTCGTTTCTTTCTTCCTCTGTTGCTTGAAAGCCAAATGATTCGGCGTTGAGGTGACACATATGCCAATCCAAAATCATGGTCATGATCAGTAAGAAAAGCAGACACAGAGCACTTCTAATTTTCCCATTGAATGCTTTTTTGCTTTAATGAAGAAACAATAATCTGTAAACTAAACAGTCAGACTTTTTCTGACAAGGCGGGTTCGGGTTTTCCACTGACGTTGCATGGAAATCATAAAAACGCGCACATGTCCACCTTTTGTTGGCCGGTTTGGCCCAATTAGACAACATTTACGAAATACGTGTAAGAAGCCCACATTCTGTCTTTAAACAATCCTTTATGGGACAAGGACGATTCTGCCTTTTTCCTTTTCCCCCCAGTATAAAACTTCTCACCGTTCTTTACCGATTCTATGATGAATGAAATTCAAAGACAAAACCAGCGAACAAGATGGAAGATGTCGTGCCTGAAGCTGAAAGCTTGTTGCACCCGATAAATATCAGCGGAGATGAAGTTACTACAGAAAGACAAAATCCTGAAGCAGCTAAACACGAGGGGGGAGACAGAGCTGGTGGATTCATTAACCATCTCATCTCTAACTTGGTTATTGGAGGAGATGCAGATGAAGAAAAACAAGAAGAACAGGCTGAGAAGGAGACAATCCCTGAAGAGAAGGGAGGTAGGATTTTAGATCATATCATTTCAAGCCCCAAAGCAGGAAACATCGCGCAACGGAAAGTTGAAGCTTTTGATGTTCGAAGTGAAAATGAATCAGGTTTCAGATCAGAGGAAGAAGTGGGTGGTGGTGGTGGTGGAGGAGGGCTTATCAACAATATCGTGTCCAACCTCTTTCACCACTCTGAAGGTGAAGTAAGAGGGAGTACTGATGAAAACAAAAAGGAAGAAGTGGTCAAGGTTGGTGAAGAAAGTAAAGCAGAGAAAACAGAGGAGAGTGGTGGTGGAGGAGGGCTTATCAACAACATCGTATCCAACCTCTTTCACCACTCCGAAAGTGAAGTAAGAGAGAGTCCTGATGAAAACAAGAAGGAAGAAATGGGGAAGGTTGGTGAAGAAACCAAAGCAGAGAAAACAGAGGGTGGTGGTGGTGGTGGAGGGGGTATCATTGAGAGCATCGTCTCCCATTTGCCCACATCTCTTCCAGGTTCATTCATTTAGCATCATAATCACTTCAATCTTTCTAAATTCTTTTTGGACATTCATTGATAATCTGTGTTTATTATTATTATTGTTATTGTATTTTGAATAAAGCAGATGATGCAGCTCCCACGAGTGATGAGGCCACCATTCTGATTCACATTGCTCAAGATTAACAAGCGTTTGATGCTTGAGGTTCACACCACTTCCAGCTTCAGGAATGAATTATTATTTCTAGAATTCTGATTGTACCATCTTCATCTGCCACTGGATTTGTGCTGTTTTCTACTTTTCTTTTGCATCTTGATTTTTTGTTCTCTTTCTTTGTAATATATTTTCTCCCTGTGATGTGTTTCTGGTAACTCTTCTGTTAAATAACATTTATTTATTTGTTAAAAGAACTTATCCGTTAATCTTCTTAATATTTTGGCAATGATATTATTTATTCACACAAAACTCGATCCGACTCAAATTATAATAAAAAATATATATAAGATTTAATAATTATAAATAATACATATACGAAAACGTAAATATTAAATCGAACAAAACTGATTTGCAACATACTCTAATCATACTTAAACGAGTAAGTTAATATCGGGTTTGCGTTTATGAACTATCTATTGTATTCACAAGAACTTGGGCTAGCTGAGCCCAAAAAGTGAAGGGTACTTGGGCTAACCAGGGAACCATGGGCAGTCCAAGAAGACCCAATCACGAAAGAGTGTATCTTATTCTGGGCTACTGGCCCATAGCCATAGTCTCGTAGCACACACGGACAGTCCAGTACTGAGGAAAAGCCCTAAACTGCCCTCGTCAAATGTAGAGAGGTATAGATAGACGGGAGTTATTAGGGTTTTGCAGCCCCTCCCATCTCCCCATTCAAAGAACGGCTTCAGCAAAACCACAGGCTTTGAGCTAGCACAGCTGCATTTTCAACAAGATGGTCAGTCTCTGCTTTCCTGAACTTTCATTTGCTTTTCTCTTGTTTTCATTCTTCGATAGGTTATGTTAGTTCACACTTTTGTCTTCGCCATTTGATTTTTGGTTCTGGAAATTTCATGGATCTGTTTTCTTTTGCTTTCGGTAAAGGCCATAGGATATTTCGGATTAGTTTGGTTTAATCACTGTTATTTGATGACTTTCGGGGCTGGTTTTGTGCTCTTGCTTCATTGATTTGGAATAGTCATGTTATCTGGGTTTTCTGTGATTTCCATTGTTTATGACAGTGTCTAATAGTTACCTCCTTGTTGATATATGGGTTTTGAGCGTTAACGGTAGTTTCAACAGTTGGGATCTATTTGACATAAAATGGTGATTTAATTGATGGGAAGGAAGGACTTGAATGGAACCTTAGATCAATTATCTGCTCCTGATTTGCTGTTTTGCTATTTTAGAAAGGCTAGACTTTTAAAATCAGATTATTGTAGTTTTACTATGTTTTTGATTTGTGAATGTGCAGTCTTGCTGTTGTATTTGATATAGTAACGCAGATGCTGTTTTTATTTTGTTCTGTTTTGGCCTTGTGGGTCTTTATGCGATCATGATAAAATATTTCAGTTTCATTTTACACTATGATTTTGTTGTGGTGTGTTACAGGCTAGAGGGTTGAAGAAACATTTGAAGAGGCTCAATGCCCCTAAGCATTGGATGCTTGACAAGCTTGGTGGTGCTTTTGTATGTTATCATCTTGATCCTATCACTTCCATACCAGTTTACTGTTCGTCTTTGTTCCTTCAGTTTTTTTTATTGTCCCCTCCACCTGCTTGCTTCATCTATTCAGTTTTAATTTTGTTTTCTTACTTTCCTGTTCGCAGGCTCCCAAGCCATCATCTGGCCCCCACAAGTCCAGAGAATGCTTGCCCTTGATCCTCATTCTGCGAAACAGATTGAAGTATGCTCTCACATATAGAGAAGTCATTGCTATTCTTATGCAGAGGCATGTTATGGTAGATGGAAAGGTTAGGACAGATAAGACCTATCCTGCTGGTTTCATGGGTATGTGTACTTTCTCTTGATTTCCTTGACTGATTTGGTTCAGTTGAATTTTTTTCATTCCCATTATAATTGGTTGGTTACTCTGTTTTCCATGTGGCTTCAGGGTCCTATGATCAAATCTTTGTGTGCTCTATTCTGATTGACTGGTACTTTCATTCTAATATATGAAATATATGCTGAGATCTATCGGTTAGGCAATGTTCATTGGCATGTGGTTTTGGGCTTGTGGCTTGTTCCTAGATTAGCTTTGAGAGCTCTTTTTTTCAGGATTTGACCTTTTTCTCTCTGCCCTTACAAATTTATTCTCTTTGACTCTTTTCTAACCATGCTTTATCACCTGCTGCCAGATGTTGTTTCCATTCCTAAAACAAATGAGGACTTCCGTCTACTTTATGACACCAAAGGGCGATTCCGTCTCCATGCCATCACTGGTGATGAAACCAAGGTTTGAACTTGGATTTATTATCTGCTTGTTCTTATCACAGTTGCATTATAGCCCCTAAGTTTTTTCTACTTTCTTCACCCTGTTAGTTATAACAATAATTTTCATGTGCTTTTTTGTATTCTGCAGTTTAAGCTTTGCAAGGTTCGATCTGTCCAGTTTGGCCAGAAAGGCATTCCATATCTCAATACATATGATGGACGTACTATCCGTTACCCGGACCCTCTGATCAAGGCTAATGACACCATCAAGCTGGACCTTGACAGCAACAAAATTGTTGACTTTATCAAGTTTGATGTTGGGAATGTTGTCATGGTCACTGGAGGAAGGAACAGAGGTCGTGTTGGAGTAATTAAGAACAGGGAGAAGCACAAGGGTAGCTTTGAGACGATCCATATTCAAGATGCTGCTGGACACGAGTTTGCCACTCGTCTTGGTAATGTCTTCACAATTGGAAAAGGAACAAAGCCGTGGGTTTCACTTCCTAAGGGCAAGGGTATCAAGTTATCCATCATTGAGGAAGCTAGGAAGAGGCTTGCAGCCCAAAATGCTGTTTAAACTTTAGCATAAGATACCCAGATATGTTTTGCTGTGGTATTATTTTCTGGAGATACTAGATTTCTTGTTTTTAACTTATGAGCACAATTTTGAAAACCATTTTGTTCTTGCAATTTAAGTCCGTTTCAGTTGGGTGATGTTAGTGACATATCAGGCTACAAATTATGGAACACTTGGTTGTTGTCGTGAATATTTCTGATTTAGTTGGTTAATTGAGAGAGTTGCTTCTGCCACCCTTTATATCCTTTGAAATAAATATTTAAATTGCTATTGCCAGCAGCATTGGTTTCATTTTCCTTTCCTCTTAGTTTCCATCCCTTCCCTTCTGTATTCTACAGGATGAATTTCCTTTTCCAGTTACGCAAGTGGTTTAGCAGTATGAAGATGGACCAATGCATTATTTATTCCCATGCCCATTCTATCCAGTTTCTTCTGCATAATAGGTGAGGATGCACCAGGCATTACTATTATTATCCACCCTCTGAATCCAGGCTGACTTGTCATTTGGTCATTCTGAAAAGATTTACATTAGTTCCCTTGAAAAGGCAAATTTTCACAGGCAAGGTCACTATAACTTTGACATAGGCTGCAGCTGAAGTAGAATATTTCATCAAGGGAAAAACAAAAACAGAAAATACTGGAAGGAACAGGGTTAGGACAGAATAAACAGAGAGTTGAAGGAACAGAGTTAGGATAGAATAAACAGAGAGTTGGTAAGTTGTCATGGATGGCAGTTAAAGAGACTACACTACCAGAACTGCTTGCCAAAGCACATGCTTCAGTCTACTTTCCACAGGTAGTGCCAAGCAGATTAAGCAAGCAGAAAAAAGAAAAGTGATGCCAAGAGGATCCAATGACACCATGCTTCTTCTAACTAATCTTCTTTGCTTTGCTTAAACTAAAGCTTAGTGAAACTCCTCATTTGATATTAGTTTTTGTTTGATTTAATACCTTTTGGTTATCTCTCCATTTCGGCTTAGCCTAAAATATCTCTAAATTGGGAGTGTGAGGGTGGGGAAGTGAGAGGTGTCCACACAAACACAAACGCATTGAAGGAAAATCCAACCAACCGTTTGACCGCGGCCCCACCTGCTCTTTCCTACAAATTAATGGCGATGAGAATCTTTGGTAGGAAGGATACATGGGAACTGCAAAGTCCAAATGAACTTTCCTACTCACCGTCGGTTTCTTCCCAATAATTACATTTTTTTTCTCTCTTCCGTAGATTAATCGAAACTTATCACTGCAATTGTTTTGTTAACAAAAGAGCACAACAATGAATGAAACATCAAATTGACAGTACCGTAATCGTAATTTGACAGTATCGTAATCTGATTTAATTTATAATTCGTAAAATTTACTATTATTATGTTAATATGTTCCTTGGTCCCCCATTATTTGGTACTAAGCATCCCCTTCTATCTCTCAGTTGTCAAGCATATCCCTGTGAAAGATAAAAGATTCAAGTCAGTAATTCCTTTCGTCTTATTTTGCAGTTAACAATTCAAAGTTGGTAGGACTTAGATTTCATTACATTTGGTATTAACGGTACAACATTATTAGTGAAATCCAATTTTAAGTAAACTAAGGCTGTTCTGTCTTGACAATTGTTGTTTTCTGTCATGTCGGTTTCATTTCGTTGCGTTGCTTACGAGCATTAGTTTAATGGCTAATGGGAAGTTTAGGAATGGAAAACAGACATTTATATATATATATATATATGTAATGGAGGAACAAAGAGGAGAAGCTGAGGAGCTACGCCAAGGCTTGAAGATGGAGAGCTGGAGGGGATGGCTTCGTTTTAAGAATTCTGTTCTCTTTCCAACCAAATGCATGCTTCTGAAGTTCACTTCATGTCTCAGGCCAAAGGTCAAAGGTAACTCTCCTTTCGCTTTCTGTCTAAGCAGTTAAACCTGATTTATATGCGCGCGTGTATGCATGCATGTTGGATTTATACACAAATATCTGTTGTTCTAACAAAAGCTTACGGCAATCATGGTAGAGAATAGGCAGGTGCTGCTAACTCTTTACAAGGACATGGAGTCTTGTGGCGAATATGAAGACATACAAGTGATGTGGAAGATGATTCATTCTTCTTTCCCATCAAACGGCCATAAAACCAGAAGAAGCACAAGGCCTTCTTCTTTCAGATTCTGTTTCAAGCCAAGATAGATCATGTCTGTCTGTAAACCATCAGGTTTAGATGAACTTTAATGGACTAGTCTTCATTGAGGTTAAAGCTTTTGAGAGTTTTCCTCCCCTGGGGAAGGGAAAATTGGACTTAAAGTTTATCTGATTGAGATGTAGAAGATAGCAGCCAATTCTAGAATCTAGACAACAGTTGTTGCTTCAATTTTTCATTGTTGGAACAAATTTTGTGTGCTTTCCATCTTTCTTTAATCAAATGTAAATGATAGAAGGTGCAGAGAAGATACCATGCTTCAAAAGCAACTTAATCGAACACATCTGCTATTTAATTATACAATCTCACTAGGGAATGATCCTAATCACAATCCATAGACACACTGTTGAGAGGAGCCTTTGATGCATCAATCAGACATTGTTCCTCCAGCCATTGAGGAACACAAACAAAGCTCCCTTAATTTTGGGGGTAAAAGGAAAGTTCTCTGGTTCTTTCTAACATGACAAAGCTAAGGGGTTACTGATGTCTTAGAACTTCAAACAAATATTCTACACAACAGTTTATTCTTCTCCAAAAATTCTGGTTCATGTAGTAGAACATCACTCAATTTAAGTCGCGGCGGATGAAAGATCTTCATTATGCAGCATCACCCTCGTGGAGGAGCATTTGATCAAAGTGCCAGACTCCTGCAAGCCGGACCAAGCAATTGCCCTCAGTGCTTAGAAAATAACACGAGGATAGGACAGAAGTAATTGAAACATTTTTTCAATGGTTTTATGAATTGAATGCAAACGATGTAGCAAACTGAAAGAAAAGATTGTGCTGAGAGTTTGATTCTAGCTTTGAGTGCGTACCGTGGCCTTTTCCAACTATCCTTAACTGAGCAACATATTCAGATATCTTCTTAATGGCTTCAACCTACAAAAATTTTAGTTAGTCAGGCATGATTTCATTAGAACATTGCCTTCTCGGTTGGAACAAGCTGCCACTTGAGCTCACCTGCTCAGATAAAAACTCTCTTTCAATGAATTCTGACATCTGAGCATCATGGTTTTGCTCTGCTACCTGTTATTCATCAATAGAGTACAAAAAATGAGAATTAAGAACAATCTACATCAAATTGCAGACTCAAACATCCTGATCTACACCCCATGGCTTTGAAGTTTCAAAACAGGTAGAGCTGCTCATAGTACTTTGCTTTCAGGATTTTAATCGAGCATAAGGTAAAGAAGTATTACATGGTGCAGGCTCAAAAGCTTCTCGTTTGTCAACTTCTCCAAGGACAGTGCTAATTCCATAGCTGAAGTCCAAAAAGAATTACAGCAAAAAATTAATTGAAACCAGTTGGACACAAACAATATTAAACAAACTCTAGCGGATATACAGCAGAACAGTTATGAGACATATCTGTGAAAGAAGAAAAGATTATCAAGCATTAAGGCAGTAGCATGGTTTTGAGAGCTAAATACAGATGTGGTGGCTATTGGTTAAAGAGACACTAACTCACCATATAATGCATCTCCCTTCTCTGCGTGTTCAAACTCTGAAGGGGGCATCAGGATAGAGTGTAGTTTTACTCTTCCTCCTCGTATGTTCTAATAATACAGTTCCAACAATAATTGTATCAGCTACTCCCTCCCAGTCCAGTATAAAACAGAAAGAACAAAAGATTTAAAGAAAACCTGATATTCCATCAGCTTCTCCGCATGCTCTCTTTCTTCTTCACTAGCCTCCTTGAAAAATCTGATTGCAACAAGTTCAAATATTTATCATGTCATTTGACTAAGGAAGAAATATATGGAGAGGGTGTTGTTTTCTGTGTTCTTACTTGGCTAAGCCCTTGAGAGCAATGTTGTCTCTGTCGAAGTAGCCATACAAAGAGTGGTACACATAGGACACGTTGTACTCCACACTGTGACAAAACAACCACAGTAATTTAAGAACTGAATCTGAAGGGAAAAAAATGAGAAGCTTGACTACAGATCAGAAACAAAAGGGATAGAAACCAAAACGAGAACCACCACTCACTTGATTTGCTCATTGATTGCGGCTTCACACTCATCTGTATATTTCTGGCGAGCAAGCGAAACCTGAGGAGCGACTGGAATATCAAGTTCCTTCTTTTTGACCTCTTCAAATGGCTGAAACACTACCCCTGTAAGTGCGAAATTGTTGGTTTCTAAGGAGGCAGAAACCCCAAAAGCCCTTCCAGGTTTTCTCTGAGGAAAACCCAGAGCAGAGGAAGAAGGAAAGGCAGAACCGACACTAGAAGATGATAATGCAGGAGAGCCCCTAAGGGAACTGATTAGATTATCCCCATGCTTGGTTGGGACTGAGAAAGATGAAACTGATCTCAAAAACATTGCTTTGGTTCTGAGAGGATTACAGCAACTGAACTTGAAACAATCTAAATGGAGAAGAAATGAAGAAAAGATGGCTGATGAAGGTTGGGTGTCAGGGCATATATAGAGAATAGCACTGGTAGGAAGGACTGTTACAAGAGTCCAGAGCGGATGGGGTTCGTTTTCGACCGTGGGATAGCATATTAGGTGGACGATCCTGCTTGAAACACGCAGGCAGGCGTGTGGCGACCTCGTGTTCTATCCAATCCTCTTGCTTTTGTGGAAATTTTAGCCAGAATATTCTGTCCACATTGCAATCTTAGCGTCATTGACTAGCTGTCCCCATGTGAATTAAACTCTTCCCAGTTGCTCGAGTCTTACAAGTAACCATACTCGCTCTTTGTTCGGACAACTTTATCTCATGGGTCAAGAATCTGTGCGATGTTTGGGCGAGTAGAAGTTAGCCTAAGCGTACAAGAGTGGAGATTTGAGCAGTGTTTATCTTGTCTTTAGCAAGGTAAATAATCTCGTTTTTTCTAATGCTCCAGAAAAAGTGGCCCCTATCTTTCTTTGCAGAGAAATTTCCCTTTGTAACGGAGTAACAGAATAAATTTCCAAGTTCTTATGGTTAAAAATTCTTGTTATTTGGGCAAATTCAGACAAGTTGATCATTGACCGAAATCGTCTAGAGAGGTATGACTGGTTGAGATTATCCAATTGTTTTAACTTTTCTTCCCTTATCCTTGCTTTGATTAAGCAAAAGAAAATTCAATTTGCCCCACCTTCCATGCTATAGTCTTTCTATCCAGGTTCAGCTTCTTCTAGAGTTGACATAAACCACCATTGAATTTTTCTCAATCCCAATCCAAGGATTTTTTCTATCATATCATATGTAACTCATAATCGGCTTCTCCATGTTTGGGTTAGAATTTTTCTTCCTGATTCTGTTCATACTTTTGTTCCTACTCTGGTATGTACACCTCTCATCACTCCATGAAAGTGGTAGCCACATTTTCCCATGTTAAGAGTGCAAATGGAATTCAGTTTTGAGCAAGGATAACTTCTTTAACAGGATTCTTTGAAAAGTTAAAACAGTTGTTCAGTCTTTTTTAAGTATACAGCATTGCAGTGTTCAGGCAACCCTTCCAGGTTTTCTGTCACCTCTCTGTCCATTGCCATCCAGCTCAGAGACGACCCCTTGCGGTTTTATGGTCCGGACCTTGGCCTGAATTGACCGATTTTTGTTTCTCGGCTTCATTCAACGGGCTCCGGACTGGCCCAAACTATAGAGGAACTCTTATTCAACTCATAAAGGACTAAACACAGGCAAAAAGGCGCCATCATAGTAGGGGAGAAATGGGCTTTTCTTATCGCTTGCAGAGGAACTATTATATGATCAGTCACGCAAAGAATCTACCCATCACAACAAAGCAGAGGAGGATGAATTTGACTTTAATTTGTCACATATTAGTCTTGGATTCGAGAGGGATAGGGGGGACCTTTTGCTGCAGGTGAAGACACTGCAGCTCACTTTCACTCACTCAAGCTTTTTTCGCACAACCTTGGCCATGAGATGTCGAGTTTTACTGCTTTTGATGGAAGGGGGCTTGTGGACAGCACGCGTTCATAGCCACATGATGTTAAGCGATCATATCCGCAACTGAGATATTATTATTTGCGAGGCTCAGGCTAACAAAAAATTCAAAATCCTGACAGTGATTGGAAATTCATTGAGCCAAGTTACTTTGCCACTGCCGCATGCAGCCACAGAATGTTTAGCAGGCTTGTGGATAGCACACGGCTTCTCTACCTTGTATTGTCTGAGCTAGTCCTGGAGCCTTTTGATTTGTTTCCTCTCTAAATATGACGAATTTCACTGTCGAGGCCTTTTAGTTTTATCAGAAAACCTGTTTCTTTTGGCCATCAAAGAAGGTTAAAAAGGATACACAGAACTGTACTGCAAAAACTATATCAAGGGAATATTGAAAAAAATAAAAGTGAAAAACATGAACCTTTTTGCAAGTGACATAACACTTCCGGATAACAATGTTCTGCAAGTCTTGTCAAGAAGATGAAGTGCCGCAGGAACAAATTAGCTTGTACCAAATCACTTAGCTTGTTGTGAGCATATATACTCTTTGTCTAGGATGAGTTTGAATTTTCTTTGCTACCATATAATTCTCCAAAACATAATCAAACAACTTTAAATTATGAAATGGAACCTTACTATTAAACATTTGATAGAAGGGTAAAGTTTATCCTTTTGATTTTCATTCAAAATCGAACAAAATTCATTTATTTTCATTTGATATCCTGTTTCGTATTTATTCTTTAATTTTACTATCATGTGTCAAATAAATCTTTTATACTAACATCGTTTGTATTTATTATTAGGATATACCGGTTAGAGTTACGTGATATGAACTTCAAGTGAGAGTGAAAAATTTTTATTCTTTTTACGAAATGCAGATGCAACGATAGTGTTTGTAAATGATATTGTATTTTGATGTTTTTAGACTTAAAAAATAAGTATATATTTAATAATAAATCAATACAAACCAAAAATGGAAAGAGAAAAGAAGTAAAGCAAGAAAGCTCCCAGCCTTCTCCATATCTCCCCATTCGATTCTCTCCCCTCCCTGATAGCTACGTGCAATTCAGTCTTTTTCTCGTAAAAATCCACTCAAACCTTTGTTTATTATTTTAATTTTCGAATAAAGAAAAGAAAGTAATTCAGAGCATAACGAAAACTCGAAAGCGATCTCCTTTTTTTTATTTTTTTATTAAAAAAAATTATAAAAAATTATCAAATTTAAACAATCATTTCAAAAATAACTCTTATTATAAAGTTAATAATTTTTATTCATTTTTTATTATGACTTAATAAAAATACTCTTGAAGTAATTTTAAATAAATTAAATCATTTATCATAATTTCACCTCTCGATTTCTCTCTCTCACATCCATCTGTTGTGTTTTCGATTTTTTTTCTCACCATCTAGCTTGTTCTAATTTTATCAATTTCTCTCCAATATTCATCTACTATACTCTTAATTTCTTTCTCTTACCATCTAGTTCTTTCTAATTTTACCACTATCAATATCTTTTTGTCTATTTCTTATCATATTATTGTTTATACAAATTAAAAAGTAAAGATGACATTAATATAGGTTTTTTTAGTGTATTAATTTACATTTACAAAATTTTCAAGTTGATGGATTAAAGTTATAAGTGAAATTTATAAATTAAACATTCTTCAAAGTTGTTAAAAGTCATACTTGTATGTAACAACTCTAACATTTAACATGTAATAAATCTATTGAATATAATAAAGTTTAAACATGATATGTAACTTGATATTTATTTTTATATTTCACTAATATATAAACTTTTAAAATTAAACACTTTAAATATAAAGTTTGAATATAAAAACATTTCATTAAAAGTAATTTTGTTAAAAATCTTTTCTTTTAATTAAAGTTTTTTAAAATTTAAAAGAGAGTTATTTCGAAAAATCAAAGTCAAATAAATCATCTCAAAAGAAAATAATTCAGAGCACAGCGACAACTCGAAAGCCACCTTTCTCCACTCTTATTATATATTTCGGTCCAGGCAGCAACTCTTGCTTGCCATATTTATCTTCACCATGGCCACTGACGCTTCCCCTCAATACCGGCCTGTGCCACTTCCTCCCGACTTCCACCCCGATATCTCACCTTCCCACCCGCCAACCCACGACGGCCTCCACTTTTGGCAATTCATGATCGCTGGCTCCATAGCGGGCTCTGTCGAGCACATGGCTATGTTTCCTGTTGACACCCTTAAGACGCGCATGCAAGCTATTGGTGCTTCATGTTCGGTTCAACCCATAGGCGTTCGCCAGGCCCTCGGCTCCATCTTGAAGCTCGAAGGTCCTTCCGGACTTTACCGTGGTATAGCTGCCATGGGGCTTGGCGCAGGACCCGCCCATGCAGTTTACTTTTCTGTTTACGAGCTGTCTAAGCAAGCTTTGTCACGTGGCGATCCCAACAACTCGATGGCTCATGCCGCTTCTGGCGTGGTGGCCACTGTCACGAGCGACGCGGTGTTCACGCCTATGGATATGGTGAAACAGAGACTGCAGCTGAAGAGCAGTCCGTACAAGGGCGTAGCGGATTGCTTGCGGAGGGTTCTGATGGAGGAAGGGATTGGAGCCTTCTACGCTTCTTATAGGACAACTGTCGTTATGAACGCGCCGTTTACTGCTGTTCACTTCGCCACGTACGAGGCAGCGAAGCGAGGGCTGATGGAGGTGTCGCCTGATAGCACCGACGATGAGAGGTTGGTCGTTCATGCCACCGCTGGTGCCGCTGCTGGGGGCCTGGCTGCTGCCGTTACAACGCCGCTCGATGTTGTTAAAACCCAGTTGCAGGTCCAGGTAAACAGTCAGTTTTCTTAGTTCAGAAAACATTCAAATTCGGATTTTTGATAAAAGACAAACCGCTAAATTTAACAGCTTGAAACAGAGATTAGAGCAGAGGTCGGCCCACTTTATGCAAATTATAGTACAAGAGAATTTATACAACAGTAACAGGGCAGAGAAATGACAAAGTACCCGAGACTGAAATTTGACCAATTTAGATGATGTTCTTAAATATTTCTGGATCTTGTGTTTTCTAGCTCGTTTTCTCCAGGGGTTTGGTTTGTTAAACAGGGAGTCTGTGGCTGTGATAGATTTTCCAGCAGTTCAATTGGGAATGTTATCCGAACAATCGTGAAGAAGGATGGATACCGAGGCCTTATGAGGGGATGGATCCCAAGGATGCTCTTCCATGCTCCTGCTGCTGCAATCTGTTGGTCCACTTATGAAGCATCGAAGACCTTTTTCCAAGAGCTAAACAGCAGCTACAACTAAGTTGGTCTAGAAATGAAGAACGCTGCAGCTTAATTAGCCTGAATCGAGATAATACATGAATGTCCAATCCAGGAATCCGGGTAAATCTGTTGGCCAGGGTCACATGGAAAATTCACAATAAGCTTATGTCTGCAATTTCTTCTTCACTCAGATCAAGTAAATATTATTGATTGATCTATCAAGTTACTTGATATGCTTTTACTCCCTATATTCAAACACTCGCCCTCCTGACTCCTTCAATTTCTGACAATTCAAGAATTGGAGTTTATAGGGAGTTACAGAGAAATTTGAGTTTCTGATAGCCACGTAAAAAGTCTACTTTATCATCTAATCAGTTACATTTCGTTCCATTATATCAAGGATAACTTTATCTATCATGAATGTGTCTTGCTCCTCAAACCATGCCCATTTTGTGAAACCTCTCATACGGAATGCGAATTTGATTATTAAAATTTACACAAAAATTTGAATCAATTATTACTAATAACTTAAACTTAAATCAAGCTGTCCACAGTGTTCTGCGATATCGGACCGCTTGCAGACGTACGGAAATTCAGATCACAAAGCACCAGTGGTCTAGTGGTAGAATAGTACCCTGCCACGGTACAGACCCGGGTTCGATTCCCGGCTGGTGCAGAATTGATTTTGCAAAGCTTTATTCGGCCTCTGCCCCATCGACTCTGCTAGCCCTCAACTCCACTCCAGAACATAGAAGAATGCAAATGTTTTGCCACAGAAGTTTTCTCGATTCCATACCCAACCTTACTTTTAGAATATACTACATACGAACAGAAAGTATCTGTTTTGTGCCTTTGGGGTCAAATGAATTCATATTCCATTATTTTCCCTGAAAAGAAAGAAGGATTTTCTGGCACAAGTCCTGACAGATTTGATAACAGGGCTTGGGCCATAACACTCTCCCAACTAATCAAAACAGAGTGCTTGTGGGAACCACTAAAACGCTTTCCATACAATTTATAAGATCTCAATACACGAGGTTCAACCCCCTTAACTGAGTGCGCCAGTTCCATACAATTAATATAAACATGGCATTGTCACCTTCCACGTAGAACAGAGTAAAGCTTTACCACAATAAGCAGCAAGCATACGAGAGACGAGCAGTCTTTGTACTTGAATCTTAAAAACTAATGGAACAAAAGTTCAAAGGTCCAAAGGCTATGAGAAACCACTTCAGAACTTATCTACACTTACACCATCCCTAGAAACCTCATAAGCCTCTCTATTCCGGGATTTCTTCATTCCAGCAGTGACATACAGCTTTGATCCATCAGATGTGATAGAGGTTACTTTGACCCATATCACCACTTTTGTCTTCATACCTTCTATATCAGCCAGCTTTCCTTTCTCCAGATACCCAGTCACAGTGGTGAAGAAGCGCAGGACAGATGAGTCCCTATATCCCACTTCACATACTGTTGGAATAAAAACAGTAAGCTTTCCCGTCTCCTCATTGAATTCGTAGTTAGTTGCATCACGAGGGAAGATTCCTATCGGCAGGTTATATTCTTTTAACAGCTCTTGCAAGGGCTTTTGCATTTTTCCTGTAAATGGCCAAATATCAATGACAAAATTTTTGGACAGAACATATACATTCTACTATATATCTTGATACCATCAAATAAAGGGTCAAGATGAAGGCTATATATCCCAAAGTTAACAACATCAAAGAGCCCCAACCCACAGACAGAAATAGAGCTTCATGTGAATGTCTGAATGGTATTCCTTCTGTGAATGTTTAAAGTCATCATAAGAACCAATCTGTTTACTTTTGACAATCAAGATCCATTGATATAAGAGTTGGGCCACGGAAAACCACTAGAAGCTCTCTATTGACATTCTCTACATCAAGTATTATCACGATTTGCATTACCACCACAATTTAGGTGGCCACTTGGGGCTCCAGAACCTACTAATTTAAGACAAATAGATAGCTTCTTTTTCTAACTGGTTTATGTACTTTAGCTAATCAATAAACTCATCAAGATTTGGATTCTCTGTTCTGAAGTCTACACTTCACTCATGCCCAATTTTCCTCCAAGATACAAACCTTGAATGAAAGTCAATTACAAGAATTTACCCTTGCCATCAGTTATTTAAAGCACAAAAAATGAACTGCATTGGAAACTATCCTTCTGAACCTCACAAAAACAGTTATCTTTCACACATAAAAAACTACAGCAGAGAAAATAGAACAACATGATGCAGCAAGAGACGAACAAACCTTTGATTTTATTAACCAACCATTTGGCTCCTCCTTCAATACTGGTGGACAATGACTGGTTTTAAAATGGGGGAAAAATGATGTTAGTATGAGTAATGTTATAAACAAACAAGACAGACATGCATAACTCAAGGGGAAGGCAATATCAATAAATGAACATATATTCATCAACACACCAACTTTGCTGTACTTGGGGAAAACATGAAATAAGCCTACATCAAGCTTCCTCATAATGACCTAAGAATTGTTAGATGAACAATAACAGTTTAAATGTTTTATGAGACTGAATTTCTTCCGAATTGCTACCATCACCTTCGGCTAGCACTAAACTTGCTTTTCTAACAATCAGTAAAGATACAGTGAAAAAACCAGTTAACATTTGACTTTTGTAAATTAAAGCAAGCGAATGACTATCACAAACTCCTTCCCCCACATCAAGAAATTAAGTTGTTATAATCATTCAAAGATAGGAAATCTGGCACATAATGGAATGAAAAAGACTCAAATTTATTTCTAATCATTCCAAGCTTAAAATTTCCTCAAAAAGGGGAAAAAAAAACTATCTTTGCTAATTAAATAAACAAATACCGCGTCAGAAAGGATAAGTTGACCAATACGCAGATTAACCTTTTGTTTTAATTAAATTAACCATTAGGATTACATAATTATATAAAGTAATCGACACGGATCAAAGTTGAAACATGTTCTCAAGAAACCCTAGGTAAATTAACGATTTCCACCAAATTTTTGAGCGGATCGGGGTCAAAACCGAAGAGGAAGTGAGTAAACCGGAAGGTAAAAGACAACGATCGAGATCGAGAGAGAAAGAGAAAGAAAATGCAAACGTACGTTGATATCGTCACCGACGGAATTGATCTCCTTGTTGGCCTTCTGGCCCAGCCAATAGGATCCCACCTTGTTCAAAATCTGATCCATTTCTCTACTTTCCCTCCAATCTCAAGCTCGATTATCGCAATTCTCTGCTTTTAATTTTCCCTTTCTCTGATTCTCTCGTCCCCCCCTCTCTCTTTCTCTGTCGAAAGCAATCTACGGTCGTAGGGATACAATTTGGAGAGAGAGAGAGAGCGGACCCTTGACTATCTGTCTAGACTTTTAATAATTTCTTACCCGCTAAATTTCCTCATATTTTAACTGCTTTAACCGCTGTGCAATCTCCATCTGCAGCTCAAACTTATCCTTTTTTTTAATATTTTTTATTTTCTTTTTTAATTATAATTTATATTTAATTGAATAATTAGTATATAATTATTCTATTAATATAAAAAAGTAATAGATTAATTCATTTTAACATCTCTAGGTTAAAGAAGCGATATGTAATATTGAATCAATAATGACAAATATATCCATCGTTAATAATTATAAAAATCATTTGATGGCTTATAAATCAAGCCAAATGTTTTTATTTACTATAATAATATACATTTTGGGATTATTGCTTAAACAAAGTAAACTCAGTTCTTCTTTTACTTCCTAGTTGTTTTGAGAAAATTCATTTTGTTACATAATTTCGATTTATAAAGAGTCAAACTCACTCTCCGATGGACTAGCAAAAATAAAAATTCAACATGTAAAAATATTTTTTTTAATTTTTTTGTAATTTTTCTTCTTCGATGTCTCTTCTAATCTCGATTTTGCATTTGTAACTTTTTTTATACAATTCTAATAAAAATTTCGGTGCATTTATATTTTTTTAATAAAAATTTGAAATACTTACACATTCTACTTATTTTCTTGCATCAGATTCTACATTTCAAAGGCAAAAGGCCACCCAAAAACCAAAAAGAAAGAAAAAAGAGTTGGAGGGATATGGAAATACAGAATTCCAGGCCCTAATTAGGGTAGGTAAGCCATTCACATAGCTCTACTGGTCTGCCAATGCTTTTCTTCTCATGCATGTTCACTCTTTTAATACTTTCTCATAATTTTCCTGAACCTAGCTAGAGCACCCTTTCCTCTTCGCTCTAGTTGCAATGTATTTGGTGCTATATTCAATAAACAATCTAAGAAGGCCAGGAGAGCAGGACTTTAGTTTCTTGCAATTAATATCTACTAGTATATATTAACATTTTCCTTCTGCTAAAGGGTAGAAAAATATGTTTTTTTTATTGAGAATTTGCTTTAATTTTCATTTGGAAACCCTGACACAAAAAATGCAATGACAAAAAGTCTCAAGATGTACTTAATTATTGTCTTCATCAGCCACATTTTTAATTTGGAAGACTTAAATGGATCTATCTGCCTAAGTAAAGACTTGCAAAAAGAAGTAAAATAAAAGGGAAGCTTGGGGAATGATGGGGAAGGAGGCTGGAGCCATGCATGGAGTAAGCAAGGATGATGGAGCTCATTTATTAAAAGAGTTTTTGATCATGAACAGGGCTTGAAAGGGTCAGTTTTGTTTTAAATGTCAAGTGGAAAGGCAAGATGGTTGAGGATGGGAAGAAGAAGAATCACTCTGGAAGAAAGCAAGGGTTTAGAAAAAGAAAAAGGAAGATTACAACATGGGGAGTTCATGGATGAGTATCCGAATGGATCAATCAAAAAAGGTCGAAATCGACCAATCATACTGAACAAAAAACAATTGATCCAAGGTCTGACCGGGCCCCAGCCCAGACTCCCACATGACTCGTCCCTGACTACCTGAGGATCATGTGCTAAAGCCAACCCCAACTTGTTCTTGTTTACACCATATAATTAAAAAGAAATTTGATATCAAAGATTAATATCCAGCAAAGGGTCCAAGTTTTTTGTCTGGGAGTAGTGGTTAAAGACAAGACAGAAGCAGCAAAAGAATCACGTTAAAGCATGCAAAAGTGAAAAAGAAGGGTGAAACAAACACGGCTGCTTTGGAAGGGCATGGAACCAGTAAACGCAGGTACCTGCCTGCGTGCTTCGCCTGCTTCCTACTTCTTTTCCTGCAACTTCCTTAATTTAAGCTTTATTTGCAAAAAAAGAATATGAAATTCTTCTTTTGCGTATATAATAGGCTGAGAGTAGGAGAAGAATTTTCCCTCTTGTATTTATTTTTTGTTTCTTTAAATGGTGTTTTTCTCTTTTCTGTCAGTCTGCAGCCTTGAGTCAGTTTAAATGCTTATCTTATCCTTCGGCTTACGACTCTTCCAGCAAGTGGATCTAGTGTTCAAATCACTTTAGCCTTTGACCCTCTCTTTTCCCGGACATTTACGAAACTTGGCACTGTGGGAATTGACACAGATGACCTTTTTCTGCTGTGCTGCAATGCAAACCCAGAACCAACAGCCCTCTTTGCTGTAGCTTTTTCTATTTGATCTATTTGTTGCTTCACATCTCGAGAGATGGATGGTGGGTTAAATGAGTTTGAAAACATTTACTGCAACTATCAATTTCAGTTGGACCACATCAAACATCATAGATCTCTTTCAATAATTACATTTCATCCATCTCTTGGACCTCTTTCTTCTTTCATTTTTTAATTTCTATTGGTTGCTAGGTGCCCATTGGACCACCTGTCAAATTTGTATCATGCAAATGGTCATGGCTGCTTGAGACAAGTTCCCATTTTTTAGCCTATCTTGGACACTTTTGTCTTGGGTTGGGAAATGGATTAGCTTTTTCATCTTACTTCTCTTTTGTCTAATCAAAGAGTGGGAGTACAGTGATTCCAAAATGCAACCAATGATCACCTAGCTCATTCTAAAATGCCAAAGACATGATGAATTAGATGTACTAACAAATTGGTCAATTTGTTTGTTTTGTTACTTCCCAATGTCATCTTTAACCGCTACTGCTCTACTATACCTAATTTCTACGATCGTATTCCGTTTAAAATATCTTTAAAATTTTATATAATACAGACAAATTTATAAAAATAGTATTAAAACAAGAAAAAAGAAAAGAAAAGAAATGTGTCGGGGTAGCTTGGTAATCTCAAAGGAATGGAACGTAGGGAGAATTTGGTAAGTTGGAGAGGAGCAACTAGGCCCTATTTTATTACCCTCCACATGAACTTTCATAAAACCCTCTTGGTCTTTACAAAATCCAACCCACCCACCTCTTTCCCTCTCGTCCCTCTGTTCATAACATCACCCACTGGAAAACCCTCCTCTTCCGAGTTGGAAAGCGACTAACCCCCATCTCTCCTTCTCTCTCCACTCGTATATATACACACGCTCGCCCTTCCCCCTTTGCTCACTAAATCGATACTATCAAACGCCCATCACGGC